AATTAAGGAATATAGCTTAAATCATATTTTGCGCCCCTTTCTTATTTAAGGTAGATTCCTTAATTAAGGGGTATTGGGCTCGCTGGGTAGTGAGCAGGCTGTACTCGAAGACTTGCGCCCCAAATCCCAGTTTCAAGCCTCCCCCATCCCAGCGAGGCTTGGGTTTAGTATAAGAGGGGGGGTATAGGGTTTTAGGGTTTAGGGTTTAGGGTGTACTCTACTTATAATAAGGAACCCCGAAAATAGTATGGGTAATTATTAAGGCGCCTATATTTGGTCTTCGTGCTTCCAACCGCCGAGTTTTTCTTCAAGTCATACCCTAAACCCAAAACCCCAAACCCTAAACCCTAAGCCGCAAACTCGAACCCGAAAGTCTTGAACCCAAAAGTCATTGAAGACCTGAATCCCAAAGCCGCACACCCTGGACCTTCATGTAGGAACCTGATTAAGAAACCTTGGGCCATTACTAGGGTTCCTTATATGAATCCTACTATTTTGGGGTTATCGGCCCAGGGTTTCTTAATCTATTTCCTACATTAAATCCTAAAGCCCTAAGCCCTAAATCCTAAACCCAAAGCCCCAAAGCCGGCAAGCTCTAAAACTTCGAGCCCGGGAGACAGGAGGAGGGCAGCTCCTACGAGACAACGTCGGAGGAGGGCGAGCCTCCTCCGGCGGCCCCTGCGGGTGCGGGTCCTACAAGGCTTCAGGCTTTAGGATTCCGGTTTAGGGTTCAGGGTTTAGGGATCATAAGGATACATAAAGGGTTCTAAAAGGGTTAAGGCTTTCGGGTTCAGGTTTAGGGATTGTAAGGGTTTATACCGTAGGGTTAAGGGTCTAGGGTTCAGGGCCCATAGTGCGGGTTCTTAAAAAAGGGCTCTATAAGGGTTTACAAGGTTCATTTCAGGGCACATTCAAGGGTTACACCAAACGTGCTGAAAGGTTCATGGGACTTGGCAAGTAGGACCTACTTGGAGGTTCATGGGTAGTTTTAGGTGGGGGGATAAAACAGGGTAGCATACCTGTAATTTTTCCAACCCTATTAAGATACTGATAGCCATACTTACTAAGTCCTTTGATCCTTTCAGTGTGGTTGGGGTGATAGGAGTTGCTGTAGGGGTTTGAGGGTTACGAGATTCGGGTTTAGGGTTTGGGGCGCAGTGTCAGGATGTATAGAGGGCTTTCGGGGGTTTGTTTAGGGTGTAGGATTCAGGTTGATCACAGTTCAGGGTCAGGAGTTAGAAGCTATTGGGCTTGTGCATTGCTCCTGGCGCCCGGAACTCTGAACCCTAAATCCTCAACCCCTAAACCCTCCTAAACCCTGAAACCCTAAACCCTAAACGCCACACCCTAAACCCTAAACCCTTACATCCCTAAACCCGAAGGTGCCTTCCCGACACCTCGCTTTCGAGATGCGGCCGTTGGTTCGGACGAGCCGTATCGGGAACCGAGGCGCGACGGGTGGTTCAGGGTTGAGGGGTTAGAGTTTTAGGGTTTCGGGTTTAGGGTTGAGGGGTCAGGGCTTTAGGGTTGAGGGTTGGGATTTCCTCAAGCCTATAATTATAAAGCCTAAGCCTAAACCCTACACGCTGCACCAAAAGCCCCGGGTTTACATCTGTGTTTGGGTCCCAAAATAATGTAGAATGAGCAGGGAAGACAAAGACCAACCAGGGGGTCTAGGTTTTAGGGTTCAGGGTTTTAGGGTTTAGGGTAACAGGGCCCAAAACAGTTGGAATGCGCTTCTTTTCTAAGGGGTCCTTTCTGGGGCCTCCCGGAAGGGTTCCGTAAGTATACGAAGGCCCCAGGCTCGTATGAAATAGTTGCCTTGATGTTTAGCACAGGGCATTGGAGCATGAATTACAATCGTTCTATTCTTTTCGGAACCAGTAGGGGATGCTACTGTCGATGATATAAATCCTGCATTACCTTAAGGACCCCAAACTATGGGAATAATGGTATATTCCTGGTAATGGGTAATGCAGGATTTCTATCATCAGCCGTAGTATTAATTGCTCCGACCCCTTTCTATACCCGGACATCGGTCGCTAGTTGGAGCAACTTGTAGTCATCGCTGCCTTCAAGTAGAACTAGATGTTACCAATATCTGTGCACAGCGCTTGAATGATCTCGGCAACGAGCTCAAAGTTCAGCTGTTCGGAAATTCGCATCGCCGCAACATTCTTGAGGCTCATACGTACAATTAAGTAAAGCACTGTGTAGGAGAGCCATTCCAAATCGGAACAGCAAGATGAGTGAGCTGTCGCTTGTTTGTGCCAGAGCATGTCTCAAGCTTCGGGGGAGTCTCTAAACGACGCGCAAATTGATTCCTTGCCGACCCCAATTTTCGACTCGGCGCCTACCCTTTATTAATGTTCCGTTGCCGTAAGCGGGCCGAAACGAGCACGTACAAAAAGAGGAATGGCCTCCCAATCCCAACTGTCCTATATTTCGGGCTTCCAATCGCAAGTTGCTGCTACAACGTGTGGAAAGACAGTACCACTTATCAGTTTGTTCGGGATCGTTGAGGGTTTGTTGGTGATGATTGGCACGTGTGTCAAGTGCGATCCAAGATTTACATGCAAGCCTGTTGAGGGGTTTGGCGTTTAGCTCTTGGGGTATAGACGTGTACTCAGGTTATACAGTCCTGAACCTTTCCCAAACCCCAAGACCCAAAACCCTACACCCCTAAACCCTGAACCCCTAAACCCCAAACCCTAAACGGCCCTAAACCGCCAAACCCCCCCTGAACCCTAAACCCCTAAACCCCCAAACCTTAAACGGTCCTAAACCGCCTAACTCTCAACTCTCAACCCTAAACCCCTAAGTCCCTAACCATAAACCCTAAACCCCTAGACCCCTAAACCCTAAACCCCTAAACCCCTATACACCCTAAACCCTGAAAACCCCTAACCCTACCTAAAGCCCTGCACACCCCCCTTAACTCTAGAGCCCTACACCCAAGAAAAAGGCTCCATACCCAAGCCCTAAACCCCTAGATATAAACCCCCCAAACTCTAAAGCCTAAACCTCTAAACCCCTAACCCCAAACCCCTGAAAACCCCTAACCCTACCTAAAGCCTTAAATCCCTAGCCATAAACCCCCAAACCCTGAAGCCTAAGCCTCTGAACCCCTAACCCCTAACTCTAAAGCACCCCCTCATCCTCCAGGTCCCAGCAGGTATAGAAGCCCTATAGATCCCTTTGAAGGGACCCTTAAAGGAACCCTTATAACTACCCATGAACCTCCAAGTAGGGTTTAGGGTTTAGGGTTTAGTCTTTTGGGCTGTTTCGGAGTCTTAGAAGCCCTCTAGAGCCTCCAAGGTTCTAGAAGTACGGAAGGCAGCAGGAACCTCCAAGCAGGTCCCACCAGCCGGCCATGCTGGACGTGGCTTGCCAGACGGTGATTTCCTTCTTCGAGACCCGTCGCCCGGACCGGACCTTCGAAACTTTTGGGGTTACCAAGAGGCTCCATAGTAGTTCTCCTTTTTGTGGTTCATATATAGAATCCCATAAGTTTTTGTGGTGTATATATATATATATATATATATATATAGAATCCTATAAGTTTTTGTGGTTCATACATAGAATCCTATAAGGTTTTGCGGTTCATATATAGAATCCTATAAGGTCACCCCAAAATGGAACTACTATGGGTTTAGGGTTTAGGGCTTGGGGGTTTAGGGTTTTTTGGGGTTCTAGGGGTTTAGGGTTTTGAGGTTTAGGGCTTCGGGGTTTGGGGGTTTTTGGGTTGGGGTTTACGGCTTTGGGGCTTAAGGCTTGGAGTTTAAAGTCTATAGTTTTAGGGTTACGGGGAACTTTTTTAAGGGTCGTTGTAATGTAGGTGGATGAAGCAGTAGTAGCTACTGGTATTCTCGGTCGTCCCTAACATATTGGTAGTATTGAATCTGCCGCACCCTAGTATAACTGTTCAAGACTCGGTGTTTGGTTTACACTCAGGTTAATGGAAAATCCACATGAATCGAGGGTTTACACGAAGTTCTGTCAATCTCGAGGTTTCGGATTGCCATTGGGTTACCCCTTAAACCCTAAACCCTAAATTGGGGTTGCTGTTTTGGGCTTCTCCTCAGGCTTCCAGCAACAAATATGTCGCCTGTCTCTCTTTGGGCTTGGGGCTTTGTGCCTAAAGACCCTAAACCCTGAACTCTAAACCCCAAACCCTAAAGTCTAAACCCTAAACCCTAAACTCTAAGCCCTACACCCTAAACTCTAAAGCCTGGTCACCTTCCCTATGATTGTGAGGCGTCTCGGCAGATCGGAGTTCACAAACGCCTAAACCCTACTTGGAGGTTCACGGTTAGTTATATGTAGGGTTATAAGTAGGATAGGTATAGTTATAGCCCATATTAAGGGGCTTATGACCCAACTTATAACTGCCCATGAACCTCCAAGTAAGCCCAACGGCCTAAAGCGCTGAGCTCCTTCATGCCCTGACCCTGGACTCGGTGTCTCGCGATTGAGGTGTTGAAGCCAAGTCAACAACCTCTTGCGCAACATCGTTCATCTGAGTATAGTCTTTCTGATCGCATAGTGTCTGGGGTTTGTTGCTTTCAAGGGTCGGTTTATGCTCAACTTTGCGGATTTAGACAGTTGTACAGGGTTTAGCGATTCGAACCCGCAATTGCGGAAGCCGTCGCGGACACGAAAAGGAACCTGTAAAGAACCTTCTGAGGTACCATCTCGGTGGGAGATGACGCGCCTCTTCCTTCGGAGGTCTTAGGCTGGGCCGGTGATTTAGGGTTTAGGGTGCTTCTTTATCTCTGAGTCGCGCACCCCCCGAACAATATCGTTGCCCCAACTTACGCCGGGTAAACCGTTTGAGCCACGAAACTGTAAACGCCGCAAGCCCCAAGCCTCATTTAGGGGTTTAGGGTTTAGGGGTTTAGGGGTTTAGGGTTCAGGGGTATAGGGTTTAGGGGTTTAGGGTTTAGGGGGTTAGGGTTTAGGGCTGAACTCAAAAGCCCTTCAGCTTGTATGATTCCTCAGGGCTTCTTTATTCTAGTTATAGAGACTTTTCTTACCGCCCTGTTTTTCAACCTTCAGAAACACCCGGTCCCGAGCTTTTCACACCGGACACCTAGAGTGTGCAGGGTTTGGGGTTAAGGAGTTAGGATTGTGCTGTGCAATGACATCATTGCAGCCTGCCCATTTTGTATACCCGTAGCCCTGAACCCTTCAAGGAACCCATAAACCATAAGCTCCTAAAGGAGCCCTAGATCCGTAACTGCCTTTTTTTCAGGCTCCGTCCGCCGGGCGGCTGCAGGAGCGGCAAAGTGAGATGTCAGTGTTCATGAAGAGATTGCTGAAGTTTCACATAGGTGGGTGGTTGCCAAAATTTTTTTGGGTCCTTAATATAGCACGGCACCTTAGGGGTTTCGGGTTTAGGGTTTAGTGTTTAAGGCTTTAGGGTCTACTGTCTGGTTCTTGGTAGGGAATGGGGGCATGGGTTATGCGGACCATCCTTCGGGAGTATGTAAGGACTACTATAGGGATCCATTCCCCCATTCCCATTCTAAGAACCAGACAGTCTAGGGTTTCGGGTTTTAGGGTCGAGCGACTTAGGGTTTCCGCTTTTGGGGGATGGCGCATCAGCGACAAGATCTGGCGAGAGTGCCATGTCGAGTGCGTCGTGGTGCGACGATGGCGCCCGATGGTGGAGGGCTTGTCTTCTTCTTCTTCTTCTCCCACTCCGCGCCGTCTGAGGCGGCCAAAGCACGCAAACTTATTCCGTTTAGGGCTTAGCTCTAAACTCACTCCACGGCGTTCTTGTTTCTTCGAGCGTTTCTTACAAGGCAGGGCGGACAGGGCGAGGGCGCTTCAGGGCAGAGGGCATGGCAGGGCATAGAGGGAACCTAAACCCTACAGTAAAAAGCCAGAAAGTTGGAATATGATTATCCTAGACCCCTTATGGTAAATTATAGGGTATCCTACCCTGAAACCATATTCCAACTTTCTGGAGTTCCCTTTAAACCCTAAACCGGGGCAGGGGTCGGAGAGCCCAAAAAGGCCTTCCGAATCTTGAACCCGGGGCCCCGCAGGATCCCCACATCTCTAGGCCCGTATGTGATCTGGGTAGTTGTCAAAGTTATGGTCCCTTTTTTGGGTATCCTAAATATTAGGTGCCGTACTATATTAAGGACCCAAAAAGGCACCATAATTTTGGCTAAATATTAAACCCAAAACCCAAAAAATGTGGATCGGACATGGACCTCTCCAAGAGCTTCCTCTGAAACCTTCGAACCCAGAGACTCCAATATCCCTTCATTATAAGGGATGTACCTTAAACCATATAAGGGATCCTACTATAGTTTGAGGAATATTCCTTAATTAAGGGATATTGGAGTCCCTTAAACCCCAAACCCTATAGATCCCTTAAAGGAACCCCTAAGGATCCCTTTAAAGGAACCCCTAGGGATGTTGGAGTCTTTGGGAACTTGCCCTGCAGCCGCGCTCTGAAATGATGAGCCGTTCAGAGGGAAGCGCCACCAGGCCTAGGGTTTAGGGTTTAGGGGTTTAGGGTTTAGGGTTTAGGGTTTAGGGGTTTAGGGTTTAGGGTTTAGGGTTTAGGGTTTAGGGGTTTAGGGTTTAGGGTTTAAAGGTTTAGGGGTTTAGGGTTTAGGGTTTAGGGTTTAGGGGTTTAGGGTTTAGGGTTTAGGGTTTAGGGTTTAGGGTTTAGGGGTTTAGGGTTTAGGGTTTAGGGGTTTAGGGGTTTAGGGTTTAGGGTTTAGGGTTTAGGGGTTTAGGGTTTAGGGTTTAGGGTTTAGGGTTTAGGGTTTAGGGTTTAGGGTTTAGGGTTTGCCGTAGAATGGCGCAGAAGGGAATGATCTTGGACCAGTGTCTTTTCGAGTGCGTCGTCATGTGACGACTGGCCGTTAAAGCCTGATTGTGGATGGCTCTCTCTTTTAATTCTCCCACCCCACGCCGTCTAAGGCGGCCAAACCACCCAAACCTACTCCTTTTAGGGTTTAGCGCCTAAACTCATTCCAAGGTTTTCTCTTTCTTGAAACCGCAAACCGCAGGGCCAGGTCCCCCAAACAGGCCAAACTTGCAGAATTTGGACGGTGCCCCTTAGGACTGGCCCGGAGCCGCCTAGGTCCTTGGAACCTGGTCGCTGGAGGCTCCGGGGCCCCCCTGGGGGTCCCTTTTTGGAGGGGGTCTAAACGGGAAAGCACCTCCAGAGCGAAGAGCTTGGGGTTTAGGGTAATTACTTTATTAAGGGACCAGTACTGGTCCCGAGGAGAACCTGCTCCGGTACCGGGCCTGACGTGGGTGCTACCGTCCCCATGGCTGTGGAGAGGCGGGCAGGCGTCTTGGGTCGCTCTGCGCCATTGAGGTCGAGGGGCTTAAGCGCCGCCCACCCACAGTAGGTGGGCGGCCTATGCCTTGAGTTTAGGGTTTAGGGTTTAGGGTTTAGGGTTTAGGGGTTTAGGGGTTTAGGGTTTAGGGTTTAGGGTTTAGGGGTTTAGGGTTTAGGGTTTAGGGTTTAGGGTTTAGGGGTTTAGGGTTTAGGGTTTAGGGTTTGGGGTTTAGGGTTTAGGGTTTAGAGCAGAGCCAAGAACCTGGAAGTTGTAGATCCTCCGGGTCTTGCACCCTGCCACGTAAAGGTGTTAGGCTACACCCCAAATCCGCAGCCCCAAAGCCCTGAACCCTAGACCCTCAGTCCGTCGCAATGAAACCCTAAACCCTAAACCCTAAACCCTAAACCCTAAACCCTAAACCCTAAACCCTAAACCTTAAATTCTTAAACCCATAAAATAGGGTTCTTCAGGTTCCAAAAAGTTCTAGCTTCTAGCCCCTGTTTACAAAGAGGTGTTACCCTAAACCCTAAACCTGCAACCCTAAACTCTAAAGCCCTACCTTACCCCCAAGTAACCTACGTTTTTAAGGACTTATATAAAGAAATCATATTAGGGAGCCCTAAAAAGGTAGGTTTCTTAGGGTACCCTAAGGTAGCCCTTTATGCCCTTGGACTTAGCCCGCAAGCTCCCGAGGATCTGGCGTGATGGGCTCGGAGATCCCCTCACCCGGGCCAGGTCCATCAGAAAGGGGCCACGGTTTAGGGTTTAGGGTTTAGGGTTTAGGGCTTAGGGTTTAGGGTTTAGGGTTTAGCGATAGCTAGGATGCCCAGTAGTACCCTTATTCCCTTTTTGTAGTCCTAGGTAGTTACCCAATACCATAAAGAGAGGCCCTTTTATTCTTAGGTTACTGGGTATCCTAGGGGGTGCAGTTCCCATTTTGGGGTTTCGGGTTTAGGTTTTCCATTTTGCGGTTCAGAGTTTAGGATTTCCAATACGGGATTTGGGGTTTAGCATAAGTCTGGTGCAGGGTTTGATGGGTCCGTCCAGACAGAGATTCCGCGTGAAGGCCCTGGGTCTCAAGTTGAATCATGATGCTTGGAGGTTCATGCGCAGTTATAAGTGGGGTTATAAGTCCTTCGATGTGAGTCATAACTATAGTTATCCTACTTATAACCCTACTTATCACTAACCTTGAACCTCCAAGTGGAGACTCGCCATCCCACATGTAGCCCTCAACCCTGAGCTGTAGATCTCAGTCCTTACATCGATTCGCACATCGCGCAACACCTTTGAGCAAGCTGTCCTGGGGAAGGCTCTTTCACGGGGCTTCATGGCATCCGGATGTTCCATGGAGCAGCTTCTGCAGAGATGAAATCGTCATGGCTCTCCACAGCTCACCACAATCCCAAAGGGTCCAAGTATCATTATAGTATATACGTAGACCCCCAAAATACCCTATAAGTATGTCCCATAGTGATACTTGGACCCTTTGGGAATGTGCTCGAGCACCTTTACTCTCACTGGCGATTGCTTGCGCGTGTGTGAAAGCATCAGAAAGACTGCTCCGGCAGCAGTCCGATGATCGTCGTCGTAGTAGGAATAGTAGTAGGAGTCGTAGTAGTAGTAGTAGTAGTAGCAGCAGCAGCAGGAGTAGTAGTAGTAGTAGTAGTAGTAGTAGTAGTAGTAGTAGTGGTAGTAGTAGTAGTAGTCGTAGTAGTCGTAGTCGTATTCGTACTCGTAGTCGTAGTAGTAGTCGTAGTAGTAGCAGTCTTCGTAGTAGTAGTAGTAGCAGTAGCAGTCGTAGTAGTAGTAGTAGTAGTAGTAGTAGTAGTAGTAGCAGAAGTAGTAGCAGAAGTAGTAGCAGTATTCTAGTACTACTTCTGCTTGAGCTCATGACCATTGTATGTCATAGTGTTCTAGTCTACTTCATGCTGAAACATCCTCTCGCAGTCTTCTCGGCCAACAGGTTCATCGTCGTGCCCATGGTCTAGCACCAGTGCGAGAAAACTCCCTTCAGGGAGCCCTTCTAAAGCGTTGAAGGAACCCTTAAAGAGCCCCTTGAAGGGGCTCTTAGAGGAACCCTTCAAGGAGCTTAGACTAGCCTTATAGAATTCTGGCGCTGCTTCCAAATTACCAAGCCTTGCCTCCCAAACCACAGAGGCGGCACCGAAACCCTAAATCACCCGGACTTCCCAAAGGAACCCCAAGACTCTTAAGGAATCGTCTTCAAAAGTATAGGGCGATCCAAATTGTGATTTCAGGCATCTTCCCAAATCATAGGTTCGTTTGGGCGGCTCTCTACCCAGACCCCCGATAAGATCCAAAAAGTAGATCCCTTCATGGGGGTTCCTTTAAAGTAGCCTGAGTAGTATAGGGCCCCAAATTAGGGGATCTACTTTCCCTAAACCCTCAACCCTAAACCCCTAAACGCTAAACCCCTAAACCCTAAACCCTAAACCCTACTTTCTAGATCCTCCCGGGGTCTAAGAATTGCCGGCTCTCTCGCAGGGGCTCAGCGGGCTCTGCCCGATGCCACAGAGGCTCAGAGGCTCACCGTTTTTTCTCGTATAGGTATACTATACTAGGATGCCCAGTAGAACCCTTATTCCCTTTTTTGTAGTCCTAGGTTCCTTATAAAGTTACCCAATACCAAAAAGAGAGGCCTTTTTGTTCTTAGGTTACTGGGTATCCTAGTATAAATCCTACTTGGAGGTTCATGGTTAGTTATATGTAGGGTTATAAGTAGGATAACTATAGTTATGACCCATATGGTGACTAGTTACAGCTTTGTTTACTACGGTTGATGATATAAATCCTGCATGACCCATGACCCATCATAAGGAATTCACCATAATTCCCATAGTTTAGGGTCCTTAAGGTAATGCAGGATATATATCATCAACCGTAGCACTTCGGCGGTGTCCACGCTCACCACTCGGCTTGCGGACATGGGACGTTTTCGGCTGCGTCGTGGGGTTGGACATCCTACCTGTGGTCAACAACTGCCACGATGATCACTCTTCTTTTGCTTCTTCGTAAAGAAGTGTTTCCCGTAGCCGCTGTTATCGGCTGGGGTTATGACTATCATTTCAGGCTGTGCCATACAGACCCTGAAAGCTTCAATACAGAAAAGTCCTTCCGGCAGGGCAGTTGTGACTCCTGTCCACGAGCCGAAAAAGCGGAGGCGCCTTGATGGTGGATATTCATTTCGTTCGCACTTGTTCGCAGAACCTTAGATCCTAAACCCTAAACCCTTCTCCTGGTGTCCTCGCTGGTGTATCGCTATAGTCTTCGCTGTTCTAAACATAAAAGCCTGCTACCGTTTATGATATAAATCCTGCAGTACCTTAAGGACCTTAAACTATGAGAACAATGGTATATTCCTTATTATGGGTAATGCAGGGTTTATATCATCAACCGTACGATGGGTGGTCGAGTACTGCTATTGTACTCTTAGCCTTATCAGTCTTGCTCTGCTTGTGAATGCCCATCGCTATGTGGGAGTTTCCGAAATTCACAGGTACCTTAGTTTGAGGTCCTTACAATAAGGGTCCTGTTAGTTAGAGTACTGTACTAGGGCCCCTATTTTTGGAAACTCGCATATTACCGCCAGCAATTGCTGTGTTGGTCGTGGTTGTGGTCGTGCTGTGGTCGTGGTTGTGATTGCGGTTGCTGGCAATGCTGCTGTTGTTGTTGCAGTTGCGGTTGCGGTTGCTGGTTCTGGTTCTGGAGCTGGAGCTGGGTGGTGGTGGCCGTGTTGGTGGTGCTGCTGTTGCTGTTGGTGCTGCTCTTGTTCTTGTTCTTGTTCTTGTTCTTGTCAATCAACTTTAGCAGGGGTCAGCGGCGGTATGCTGATGTCTTCTTTGGGCCAGTTGAAAAAGAGAGGGGCTCTTCGTAAAATTTCGTAGCAATGACTTGGGAGTACCGAGAGCGGGGCTTTTTGAGGCACGACTCAGTGTTCTCGTCGGTAGTGCTCCATGTCTGTGATGCTGTGGTACTCATGGCTGTGCCTGCTTCTTGCCATTAAACCCTAGACCCTAAGCCCCAATTAAGCCCTACACCCTAAACCCTGAACTCGCGATCGCAATCGTGCTGAGGAAGAAAGTCCGTGAGCCAGCGCACACGGAGGCGGCTTCGGGGTCGTCAGTAGCTCCCATGGGCTCTAAACCCCCATGCAGGAATGTACCTTCAACATAAGATTAACCCTTCATGGTTCAAGGTATATTCCTCATTTATGGGGTTTGGAGTGTTTGGGAATCTGGTGCCATGATACTGACTGACTGGAGGCCGTACACATCTCAAAGACGGTTGGAGGGTGGGTGAGTCTCGTGAGACTACGCAACGACTCAAAACTCAGAAGTTCATAAGTCATAGGAGGGTTCCCATAATAGGGTTCATATTAAGGAATCCCTACCCCAAGCATCTTAAACCCCCCTGTTGGCCTCCCTTCAATAAGGGTCCTACTACCGCTGCTGCTGATACTGCTACTAGTGCTGCTGCTGCTACAGCTACTACTGCTACTACTGCTACTACGGCTGCTACTGACTGCTACTACTGCTGCTACAGCTCCTACTGCTGCTACTGCTACTACTGCTGCTACAGCTACTACTGCTGCTACAGCTACTACCGCTGCTACTGCTACTACTGCTGCTACAGCTACTACTGCTGCTATTGCTACTACTGCTATTACGGCTGCTGCTGCTACTACCGCTGCTGCTGTTTCTGCTGCTGTTGCTACCATTGCTTTCCGGTGCTACTGCAAGTGCCACTGCGATGCTGCTGCTGCTGTTTTTGCTACTGCCTCCACTGGTGTGGCTCCTGCTAATAGCGGGGTAGCACCAATGCTGCAACCCTAAGTAGCAACAGCAGTTGAGTGACATGCGACATATATGAGGCTATGAAGGATTCCCCAAGAGTGATAAGTTGCCGAGTCATGCAAATAAATCACGTCAGACAAACAATGTAAGTGAATACAGCATGTCAAGCAAGTGTGCAAGTGGTAAGTGGCAAGTGGTAAGTGGTAAGTGAGTAAGTAAGTAAGTGATTCAGTAAGAACCGAAGCAAGTAAAGGCGGAAGAAAGCAAGTATGCAAGTCGTAAGTGAGTAAGTGAGTAAGTATGAATGTAAGCAAGTAAGGACGGGTGAAAGGAAGGAAGGAAGTCAATGAGTGAGAAAGTAGGCAAGTGCGCCCTTGACACCCTAACCCCACGAGGTGACGAAAGCTGAGCCAGCCGGCCCTGGGGGCAACCACGGAGGACTGGCCTGGGCTCGTTGCTTGGGGGTTCCTTGAGTTTGGGGCTTAGGGTTTTGGGTTTAGTGGCTCCTTGAGTTTAGGGTAGGTCTTGCTTATGGTCTTTCTGGCTTTGAAGGTTTGGGGGAGGCAGGCTCCATTCCGTGACAGCTCATCACCGTTCGGGGCTAGTCGGCTGGTCTGGAATACAGGTGAGCTTCACTAGATCTCTTGCGCAGGAAAATTTGATCGGTTTCCTGTGAGAAGGATCAGCTATTCGCATGCGGCTTTCATATACTTGCCTTGCTTGTCCGTGGGGTGTTAGTTAAAACGGGGGCTGAGAGTACCCAGGCGGGGCACCGACTGTGCGCCGTTGCCTCCACGCCCAAGGTGTCGATCCCCTACCCAACCCTGAAACCGCAAGCACCGAAGCCCTACTTGGAGGTTCATGGGTAGTTATAAGTGGGGTTATAAGTCACTTGATATGGGTTATAACTATAGTTATCCTACTTACAACCCTACTTATAACTAACCATGAACCGCCAAGTACAGACTACCCCAGCCGTCAACACTAAAGTCCTGAAGCCCTAAAGCCTTCCACACTCGCTGAACGTGTTCCTGTAGAAGGTGATAAAATCCCATTCAACACCCAATTGGGTGGCTGTCAAAATTATGGTCCCTTTTTGGGTCCCTCTTATAATACGGCACCTAGTATTTAGGGTGCCCCAAAAAGGGACCCTAATTTTGACAACCACCCATTTATCCGTACACCAGCAGATAAAACTCAAAACTCCTCAACACTCTAACACTCTTGAACACCCGGCAACATCGTATACAACTCGTTATATACCATCCTATAAAGCTCTAAAGCCATGCTAACTCAAGATAAACCCTGGAACTACAAACCCAAACCCAAAACCCCAAACCCCAAACCCTAAACCTTGAACCCCAAGCCCTGAAATCGAAGGAGCTCGGATGACGGCAACGCGGGCCTCGGGGGACGACGACAAGGAAGCCCACACAGGACCCCTCTTTGGGCTCATATAAGGGCCTTAATAATTTTAGTAGGGTTTCTTGTCTGAGTTCCTTGAAAGGGATCTATAAGGGATCCATGATGGGGTTCTATAATATAGGGGCCTTAATATTTAGAATTGGGTTTTGGGGGCCATTATATCAGAGATATACTAGGGAAACCCCAACATAATTAGTATTGGTAATTGTTTTAGGCTCGTGCATTACTTATAAGACTCCGACAGCTTCCTGTTTCTTAAGAGGTTTCTGTCGGTCTCACTAGGGGTTTGTAAACCCTAAACCCTAAACCCCTAAACCCTAAACCCTAAACCCCTAAACCTGTAAGGGTTTTATTTGGCCGATAAAGAGTTCTACAAGGGCAAGCAGGCGAGGACGAGGGGTTTCGAACTCTTCGTCGTTTTTTTGCGTTTAGGGTTTGGGGTTTAGGGTTTAGGGTTTGGGGTTTAGGGTGTGGGGTTTAGGGTTTAGGGTTTAGGTTAGTGGTTTAGGGTTTAGGGTTGGGGTTAGTGGTTTGGGGCGTTAGGCTTGCTTAGGGTTTGGAGATGAACAGGGTTTCGAAGTTGTCTGGCGTCCCGCTGGTGGGCTGGAAACCTCCAACACAGAACCTCGAACACGAAACCCGAAACCCCCAACCAACCCTAAACCCTAAGCCCTAAACCCTAAGCCCCTAGAAACAGCGGCTTTTGAGCTTTGCTGGCCTCTGAGATGCTTTGCAGGAGCACTTCCGGTTCTGCCCCCCATGCTGATCCCGCGGGCCACTGTGGAAGAGCGGGATGCCCCAGGCAAGCAACGGTTCGGGAGAGCTGTGTCAGAATGAGGGTTTGGGGCTTTGAGGTTTGCACATACGGTAGCGTAATGTCATATACTGAAATTGAAAATTTTAAGAGGATGCCAAGAACAGTTGATGCTATAGTAGCAGTTAATGTGCCAGTAACATATCCTGCTATACTGTATCAGGGACCATGCAGGTCATACTGCAAAGCTCATCACATGATGGGGTCAGACTGCATGTTATTCGTTTTGCAGTGTGAAATTATGTTGCGAGATCTTCATCATAGTGCATTTCATTGTGTTTGCTTGCATTGTATCATATCCTTGTGTATTCGCGTGCATCAGTTTCTGTATGTCTGTTGCTGTATGGTATACTCATCGGCATGTACAAATAGTAGCATGCTGTAATATACCATACGAGGGGCTATCTCATGATACGAGATCGAAAACCGTCAAGCCAGTTGTACACACTATGGTATATCTAAACATGCTTTATAACGAGATGCTGGCGCTGCTGCTGCTACCACTGCTACTGCTACTACAACGACGACGGCAGCTACGACAGCGGGGGTTGCTGCTATTTTGATTTCTTCTTCTTCTACTGCTGCTGCTACTGCTTTTATTACTACTGCTGGCGCTGCTGCTGCTACTGATGCTGCCTCTGCTGCGGCTACTGGCACTGCTACCGATACTGGTACCTCTACTGCTCCTGCTCCTGCTCCTGCTCCTGCTCCTGCTCCTGCTCCTGCTCCTGCTCCTGCTCCTGCTCCTGCTCCTGCTGCTACTGCAACTGCTTGTGCCGCAGCCAGCACCACCACCACGACGACGGCGACGACTAATAACGACATAAACGGCAATCGGGGTATCAATAGAAATGCGCCGGAATAAAGATATTGAACTACCAGTGTCAAGAAGATAGTAAGACTAGTAAGGATTTCACTGGTCTGAATTTATGATATGAGTTGTAAAAGAATGGTATTTCTGTATTTCTGCATAAGATTTTTGTATGCTGTCTGTCTGTCTGTCTGTCTGTCTGTCTGGATGCATGTATGTATGTATGTACGTATGTACGTATATATTTTTGTGTTTATGCATGTATGTGTGTATGTATGTATGCCTGTATGTGTGTATGTATGTATGTATGTATGTATGTATGTATGTATGTAAATGTATGTATGTATGTATGTATGCATGCATGCATGCATGCATGTATGTATGTATGTATGTATGTATGTATGTATGTATGTGTGTATGTGTGTATGTCTGTATGTACGTACGTATGTATGTATGTATGTGTGTACAGCGTGCATTCATACATGCATGCATACAGAGACATGCAGGTGTCGATGCATGCATCCGTACATGCGTCCGTACATGCAGCCATCCATGCATACATGCATGCATACATACATACATAGACGTGTGCGTACGTACACAGGCTTAAATAGCAGACATGCACATACACACACGCACACATACATGGGGCTGTGTAATAACCCCGCGCCTCTTCATTCTGTGTTCGCTGGGCGCCTGTTGGAAGGATAGTGTTTTGGCTGGAAAAACGATAAGAAGAAAAAAAAACGATAACGTCAGTTTATGATGCCAGTAGTCTTGTACATTATTTGCTGCTGATGGCTTGTATGTTGTGCATTCGCCGCGCCTGCAGAGTTCCACAACTCAAATCAAGCAGCTTCATCACAACCCTCACGAATGCATTTCGCCAGGGATTCTAAATGCATTCGGGCCCGCGCACTCGGGGCTGGGAGGAGCATGGACCACGTTGGGCTTTTTCACGGCGATTTGAACACGCACTAACCGCTTCGTCACCAACCTCGCGCATGCATTTTGGCACGGGTTCTAAACGCATTTGCTCCCTGCACTCGGGTTTGGGAGCGCGGGGTATCTTGGGCTTTTACACGGCGATTTGGGCACGCACGAACCGCTTCGTCACCAACATCACGAATGCATTTCGGCACGGATTCTACATGCATTCGGGCCCGCGCACTCGGGGTTGGGAGGAGCATGGGGCCAAATTGGATTTTTTCACGGCGATTTGGGCACGCACAAACCGCTTCGTCACCAACCTCGCGAATGCATTTTGGCACGGATTCTGAACGCATTTGCTCCCTGCACTCGGGTTCCCTGCCCCTGAACCTTAAACCTTAACCCTAAACCCCAAACCCGAATCCCTACCCCTTAACCTTAAACCATCTTAAACCTTAACCCTAAACCCCAAACCTGAATCCCTACCCCTTAACCTTAAACCTTAACCTTAAGCCCCAAACCCGAATCCTTACCCCTTAACCTTAAACCTTGAACCTTGAACCTAAACCCCAAACCCGAATCCCTACCCCTTAACCTTCAACCCTAAACCTTAACCCCAAACCCTCATCCCAAACCGCTTCGTCACCAACCTAACGAGTGCATTTCGGCACGGATTCTAAATGCATTTGCGCCCACGCACTCGGGCGTGGGAGCATGCATGTCGGCTGTTCACATGGCGATTTGGGCAACCGCTTCGCCACCAACCTCGCGAATGCATTTTGGCACGGATTCTAAACGCATTTGCTCCCTGCACTCGGGTTTGGGAGTGCGGGGTATGTTGGGCTGTTACACGGCGATTTGGGAACCGCTTCGTCACCAACATCACGAATGCATTTCGGCACGGATTCTAAATGCATTCGGGCCCGCGCACTCGGGGTTGGGAGGAGCTTGGGGCCAAGTTGGACTTTTTCACGGCGATTTGAGCACGCGCAAACCGCTTCGTCACCAACCTCGCGAATGCATTTTGGCACGGATTCTAAACGCATTTGCTCCCTGCACTCGGGTTCCCTGCCCCTGAACCTTAAACCTTAACCCTAAACCCCAAACCCGAATCCCTAGCCCTTAACCGTAAACCATCTTAAACCTTAAACCTTAAACCTGAACCCCGAACCTGAATCCCTACCCCTTAACCTTAAACCTTAACCTTAAGCCCCAAACCCGAATCCTTACCCCTTGACCTTAAACCTTGAACCTTGACCCTAAACCCCAAACCCGAATCCCTACCCCTTAACCTTCAACCTTAAACCTTAACCCCAAACCCTCATCCCAAACCGCTTCGTCACCAACCTAACGAATGCATTTCGGAACGGATTCTAAATGCATTTGCGCCCACGCACTCGGGTGTGGGAGCATGCATGTCGGCTGTTTACACGGCGATTTGGGCAACCGCTTCGCCACCAACCTCGCGAATGCATTTTGGCACGGATTCTAAACGCATTTGCTCCCTGCACTCGGGTTTGGGAGTGTGGGGTATGTTGGGCTGTTACACGGCGATTTGGGAACCGCTTCGTCACCAACATCACGAATGCATTTCGGCACGGATTCTAAATGCATTCGGGCCCGCGCACTCGGGGTTGGGAGGAGCTTGGGGCCAAGTTGGACTTTTTCACGGCGATTTGAGCACGCGCAAACCGCTTCGTCACCAACCTCGCGAATGCATTTTGGCACGGATTCTAAACGCATTTGCTCCCTGCACTCGGGTTCCCTGCCCCTGAACCTCAAACCTTAAACCTTAACCCTAAACCCCAAACCCGAATCCCTAGCCCTTAACCGTAAACCATCTTAAACCTTAAACCTTAAACCTGAACCCCGAACCTGAATCCCTACCCCTTAACCTTAAACCTTAACCTTAAGCCCCAAACCCGAATCCTTACCCCTTGACCTTAAACCTTAAACCTTGACCCTAAACCCCAAACCCGAATCCCTACCCCTTAACCTTCAACCTTAAACCTTAACCCCAAACCCTCATCCCAAACCGCTTCGTCACCAACCTAACGAATGCATTTCGGAACGGATTCTAAATGCATTTGCGCCCACGCACTCGGGCATGGGAGCATGCATGTCGGCTGTTTCCACGGCGATTTGGGCAACCGCTTCGACACCAACCTCTTAACCTTCAACCTTAAACCTTAACCCCAAACCCTCATCCCAAACCGCTTCGTCACCAACCTAACGAATGCATTTCGGAACGGATTCTAAATGCGTTTGCGCCCACGCACTCGGGCATGGGAGCATGCATGTCGGCTGTTTACACGGCGATTTTGGGCAACCGCTTCGACACCAACCTCGCGAATGCATTTTGGCACGGATTCTAAACGCATTTGCTCCCTGCACTCGGGTTTGGGAGTGCGGGGTATCTTGGGCTTTTACACGGCGATTTGGGCACGCACGAACCGCTTCGTCACCAACATCACGAATGCATTTCGGCACGGATTCTAAATGCATTCGGGACCGCGCACTCGGGGTTGGGAGGAGCATGGGGCCAAGTTGGACTTTTTCACGGCGATTTGAGCACGCACAATCCGCTTCGTCACCAACCTCGCGATTGCATTTTGGCACGGATTCGAAACGCACAGCTCCAGTGCGGAGTGAAAAGGTCTCCATCGGAATCCTACCAGACTAAGCTTGCAGCTTCATATCCCGTATATTTAAACCTACTTCACGCCAAAGAAGCACAACCACTGCCTTCGATATACGAATGTTTCCATGTCCCGTATACTACAGTTGTACTACACTTCAGTAAGAGGTTCTTTCATGGGAAAACGATAAGAAGAAAAAAAAAACGATAACGCCATTTAGCGTATAGGAACTGAACACGGGGTTTTCACACCACCCCACATGTCTTCTTAGAATCTTGTTGTTTGGTTGTTCCGCTATTTCAGTACAGGTTGTGGTTACCGGTCACGACAATCCTGTATTGAAACCCTTCCTAACACCCTTTACAAGGCCACGCAAAGCCGTTACTGAAACCTCTCATCAAGGACCCTTAGCAGACCCTTCTCAACCTCTGTAGACTCCTTTTCCGAAGCTTTGCACGGCCCTGAAGAAAGCCCGCCAGCGCCGAACCACAGGGTTTAGGGTTTAAGGTCCCTACCTGCACCTAGCAAAACCTACAAAAAAGTAGGGTCCCTTTTCCATATTAGGGTTTTTGATAAGAACCTACAAAAAGGTAGGGTTTGGTAGGTTAAGGTAAACCCTAGATCCCGAAAAAACGCCCTCCAGGGGCTGGCCCTGCGGAAGCTCGCTTGCGGCCGGCGGAGAGTGCCGAGTTGCCAAGCGAAGGCAGCGCTGGGTTTTCATCCGTGAAGGGCCTGGATTCTTGTGAAACGGGCTTAATAGTTCAGTTAAGTTACACGTACCATAACAAGGAAACCCCATTATCTACTGTAGACCCCTGTTATGCTAACTTATATAAGTTTCCGTCACAAGAACCCAGACCCTGAAGCCTGAACCCTGAAGGCCAGATCCCCCTGAAGCTTTGAAGCCACAAGCGTGGCCCAAAGCCCCCATAAAGCCTCACATCACCCTTCGACGCCATTCTTTTAAAGCCCTACTTGGAGCTTCATGGGTAGTTATAAGTGGGGTTATAAGCCCCTTAATATGGGTTAGAACTACAGTTATCCTACTTATAAGCCTACTTATAACTAACCCTGAACCTCCAAGTACAGACTACACCCCAGGGGCAATGAGAAGCGACTTGCCAGGGGCTCGGCCGCCGTCCGCTGGCATGTCCGCAGTGGCAGAAGATGCCGCAGGCCACGGGAACATCGATTCGTTTTTTTGGGTCGGGTTCAGTTTAATTCGTTTTTGGGGTCGGGTTCAGGTTAATTCGTATTTTTTGGGCTGGGTTCAGTTTAATTAGTTTTTTTGGGTCGGGTTCAGTGTAATTAGTTTTGTGGGTCGGGTTCAGTTTAATTCGTTTTTTGGGTCGGGTTCAGGTTAATTCGTTTTTTGGGTCGGGTTCAGGTTAATTCGTGTTTTTTTGGGCTGGGTTCAGTTTATTTCGTTTTTGGGTCGGGTTCAGTTTAAATCGTTTTTTGGGTCGGGTTCAGTTTAATTAGTTTTTTGGGTCGGGTTCAGGTTAATTCGTTTTTTGGGTCGGGTTCAGGTTAATTCTTTTTTTGGGTCGGGTTCAAATTAATTCGTGTTTTTTGGGCTGGGTTCAGTTTATTTCGTGTTTTTTTGGGCTGGGTTCAGGTTAATTAGTTTTTTTGGGTCGGGTTCAGTTTAATTAGTTGTTTGGGTCGGGTTCAGGTTAATTCTTTTTTTGGGTCGGGTTCAGGTTAATTCTTTGTTGGGTCGGGTTCAGGTTAATTCGTTTTTTAGGGTCGGGTTCAGGTTAATTCGTTTTTTAGGGTCGGGTTCAGTTTATTTCGTGTTTTTTGGGCTGGGTTCAGTTTATTTCGTTTTTTTGGGTCGGGTTCAGGTTAATTCGTTTTTTAGGGTCGGGTTCAGGTTAATTCGTTTTTTAGGGTCGGGTTCAGGTTAATTCGTTTTTTAGGGTCGGGTTCAGTTTATTTCGTATTTTTTGGGCTGGGTTCAGTTTAATTCGTTTTTTGGGTCGGGTTCAGTTTAATTAGTTTTGTGGGTCGGGTTCAGTTTAATTCGTTTTTTGGGTCGGGTTCAGGTTAATTCGTGTTTTTTGGGTCTGGTTCAGTTTATTTCGTTTTTTGGGTCGGGTTCAGTTTAATTTTTTTTGGGTCGGGTTCAGTTTAATTAGTTTTTTGGGTCGGGTTCAGGCTAATTGGTGTTTTTTTGGGCTGGGTTCAGTTTATTTCGTTTTTTTTTTGGGTCGGGTTCAGGTTAATTCTTTTTTGGGTCGGGTTCAGGTTAATTCGTGTTTTCTGGGCTGGGTTCAGATTAATTCGTTTTTTTTTGGGTCGGGTTCAGTTTAATTCGTTTTTTGGGTCGGGTTCAGGTTAATTCGTTTTTTAGGGTCGGGTTCAGGTTAATTCGTTTTTTTGGGTCGGGTTCAGGTTAATTCGTGTTTTTTGGGCTGGGTTCAGTTTATTTCGTTTTTTAAGGCTGGGTTTGAGGGTTTTGGGGTTTTAGGGTTTTGGGGTTTTAGGGTTTTGGGGTTTTAGGGTTTTGGGGTTTTAGGGTACAGGGTTCAGGGTTTAGCATTTCAGGCCAAGGGAGGCTTTTTTTGGGGTTGGGGCCCTTGGGGGGCTTCAATCAAGGGGCTTAGAGCATCTATTGCTCTTAACCCTCCAAACCCTAGGTGCCCAAATCCTCCAAACCCGAAGCCGAATCCCTCAACACAAAAAGTCGCGTGAACTCGGAACCCTAAGCTCTAGACTCCAAACGTGCCCAGCACCTTGGCAAAAGCCGGCCTTAAACCCAAAGCCCAAAACGCCGATACCCAAAACCGGAAACCCCAAACTTGAACCCAAAACCCCAAAAGCGTTATTCCCCTAGAGAGCCCTTATAAGGAACCCCAAACTTGAACCCCAAAACCCCAAAATACCATTATTCCCCCTATAGGTCCCTTGAAAGCCCAAAACCCTAAAAACATATTCCCTTATAGATCCCTTATAAGGGGAACCCCTTTGGAGGAGATCGGGGGCCCTCTCCTGAGCCAGAGACTGCGGCAGACGAGCGGAGCGCTGCAGGCGTGGATTTAGGGGAAGCCTAGAGTGCTGAGGGGTTTAGGGTTTAGGGTTGAGGCTTTGAGGGTTTCTTTGGGTTCTTTGCATTCGCTTCTTAGGGTTCCTTCAGGTTAGAGTTAAGGGCTTTAGGGTTTAGGGTTTTTAATGCTCTGGGGTTTAGGACTCAGGGGTTTATGGTGGAGGGGTTTGGAGGTTTAGGATTATACATTACATAGAATTAGACATACATATCAACGCTAAATCCTAAACCACAAATCCTAAAACCTAAACCCTAAACCATAAGCCCTACAAAGCCTAAGCCCTAAACCCTACAAAGCCTGAGCCCTAAACCCTACACAGCCTAAGCCCTAAACCCTGCTCTAGGAGCCTTGGCCGCGGGGCCTCGCGGCAGCCCACCGCGAGAAGCTTCTGAAGCTGATCATTCGGCTCCAGGCGCCTTGGGAGGTTTAGGGTTTAGGGGTTTTGTTTTTTTGGGTTCGGGGTTTAGGGTTTGGGGTTCGGGGTTTAGGGTTTGGGGTTTGGGTTTTTTTGGGTTTGGGTTTTTTTGGGTTTGGGTTTAGGGTTTGGGGTTTAGGGTTTCGCAGGGCTCCAAGGGTGGGACGAAGGTAGGTGGAGGAATCCCAAAATACGAGTGCTTGTATAAGGAATCCTTAAGGTATCAAGGTTAGGTTTAAGGGTCTGGGGGTTAGAGTTTCCCAGAGAGCCTAAGACCCCTTAACTAAGGAATATAGCTTCAATCATAATATGAACCCCCTTCTAGTTTGAGGTATATTCCTTAATTGAGGGTATTGGGCTCTCTGGGTTCGGGTTCAGGATGTAGGGCCAAGGCTTTGAGTCTTAGGGTTCAGGGGTTTTTGGGGTATTAGCTGCGAGGGGGACAAGTGATTCAAGGATCACGAGCTGTTGCCGGCTGGCTGTTGGGGTTTAGGGTTTAGGAGTTTAGGAGTTTAGGGTTTAGGGTTTAGGGTTTAGGGTGGGAGGGGGGGGCTCGGTGGGTGGGTGGAGATGAAATAATCTTCTGGCAAGTGTGTGGCTGGGGGTTGTCCTGGCTGTGACTCCTTTGTGGGGTCGTTGCAGCAAGTTAACTGGAGGGGCTCCTGTCACCTCAAACTCAAAGGGGGGACCCTTAATGGGGACCCCTACCCAATAATGGGCTATATAATGGGTATATAATGGCTATATTAAGGGTATATACCTAGGGGTCCTTATTAAGGGTCCCTCCTTTTACCCTTGGACAAAGGGAATCTTGTCATGAGCAGCCGGTGCTGAAGGTTCATGGGGTCTAACAGCGTAGCTTGTGATGCTGCAGACTTCCGAAATTCGCAACCCCGTGACCGACAGCAAAAGTCCCCAAACCCTAAACCCTAAACCCTAAAACCTAAAACCTAAACCCTAAACCCTAAACCCTAAAAAAAAGAAATTAAACCTCACAAAAGGCAGCAAAAAAGCACCAACTTTCCGGCAGATTCCGACAGCGCCCCCGAGCCGCTAGCTGCCGCGCCCTCGGGCGTTCCGTCGCCGGCGAAGGAGGGCAGCGTCCCGGGGAAGAGCCCGGAGCTGAGACCGGTTTTGGGTTTAGTGTTTAGGGGTTTAGGGTTTAGGGTTTTGGGGTTTTAGGGTTTTAGGGTTTTAGGGTTTTAGGGTTTAGGGTTTAGGGTTTAGGGTCCGGGGTTCGGGGGCTTCGAGGGTTTGGGGTTTAGGGAGGTTCCCAGAGACTCCAATATCCCCTAATTAAGGAATATTCCCTAAATCATATTGGGGATCCTACTATAGGTTAAGGAGTATTTCTTAGTTAAGGGATATTGGAGCTGAGACCGGTGTCGGGGGCTTCGAAGGTCGAGGAATGGAGGGTTCTTAGGCTTTACTTGGAGGTTCATGGGTAGTTATAACTGGGTTTTTAGTAGGATAACTACAGTTATAAGTTATAACCCATACTATGGGACTTATAACCCTGCCTATAACTAACCATGAACCTCCAAGTAGGGTTTAGGGATTCGATTCGGGATTCGGGGTGTGCATGAGGTTCAGGGTCAAGGGTTTAGGGATTTGGGTTTGGGACTTGTGGGCTTCAGGGGTTCAGGGCGTGGGCCTTGCAGTAAATTTTGGGGCTCATGGGCCCTCAACCTTGAGCCCGAAGACCTAAGTCCTGTGCTTCTCGGTGAAAGCTTCGGAATGATCCCAGAGACTCCAATATCCCTTGATTAATGAGTATTCCTTAAATTATATTAGGGATCCTTAATAAAGGGATATTGGAGTCTCTGGGATGATACTTGTTTCGCTTCCGTGTCAGCCTGTGGGATTCGGTTCAGGTTCCGAGCTTGTGCTTTACATCTTTGCGCATCTTCTCTGTACCGCACCATAAGTCGAAGCCTTTGGATGTAGGATTTCCAGGTTGTCGGTTTTGGCTCAGAGTCCAGGATTTTGGGTTGAGGCTCTTTGGTTTGAGGCCTTGGGTTTAGGCAGATCCTGAACATCCAGACCTGCAGGCGAGGCCCGCGAGCGCAGCCGCAGCTGCGATGCACGCAGCCCCGCCGGGGATGTGCGCAGCCCCAGTCCGCGCAGCCACAGCCGGCCGCGAGGGCGGGATAGTCACGAGGCGCCTTTGGTGGAGCAACCCCAAACCCAAAGCCTAAACCCGCAAACCTCTCGTGCTTAAGCAATCTCCGCTGCCTCGGGAAGGGGTTGCGTGTTGCTTGACAGAGCACTTGCTCTGACATGCCTGTCACCAAAACAGATCGCGCCTCATGTGTTTTTACATGGAGCTACGATAGAAGCTTGAACAACTACCGATAAGAACCTATTGAGACTCTCATCTGCATTAGCTGTTTTCTGGAGCATCCAGCTGCAAAGCGAGGTCCGGCGATCACCAGCCGGGCAGCCGCCAGCAACTGGGCCCACGGAAACTTACAGCAAGTCCCTCATATCCCAAAGCCCTTTATATGGTTTAGGGTTTAGGGGTTTAGGGCTTAGGGTTTCGGGACTGCCCGTCTAGTAGAACCTTGGTAACCTCTATGAAGCCCTTTCAAGCTGTCAGAAGACCTTGTACTTGGAGGGTCGGGGGACTTAGAAACTGGTTATTTCAAGGACTTATAAGTACCAGAACCCCCAATTAGAGTCCCTTTTAGGGTACTTATAAGTCTACTTACTACCTACTTACTAAGTCCCCCGACCCTCCAAGTAGGGCATCCAGAGCCAAAGAGGCGCTGATCGATGGCATCGCCCCCTTATAATTTAAGGCATATTCCTTAATTAAGGGGTATTGGGCTCTCTGGGGACCCTGTAAAGTCCTTTAAAGGAACCCTTAGAATCCCCTTTGGAGGACTACCTACATACTAAGTCCCCTAAAGACCCTCCAAGTAAAGTCCTGATGAATCTCAAGATCCTTGGCGAGAGCCGAGCCCCTCAGGAGCCTCTTTCAGCCCCCTTTTCAAGGGTGTCCCTGGCCCCCTAAACCCTCCTATATAGGCAGAATAGGCCCCTAAACCCTCATATATAGGCCTTAATAATTAGAATAGGGTTTTGGGCCCATGATACTATAACTAAAAGAAGGAACCACCAAAATAGTATAGTCAATTATTAAAGCCCCCTTACAGCCGCCACCAAAAAAAGCCCAGGCAAGGCATTCCCCAGCCCGTCGCTCTCCGCGAGCTTCGCCTAAGAGACCCTCGCCGCCCAGACGACGGTCGGCGCCCAAAAGGCGTTTTGGGGGTTTTGGGAGTTTCGGGGTTAGGGTTTAACGTTTGGGGTTTATTAGGGTTTAGGGTTTAGCGTGTAGGGCTGGAAGGCCGCAACACCCGAGTTTCAAGGTTTAGGGCTGGTTTTCTTCAAGCATATAATACTCAGACGCAGGATACGGAGAGCATGGGAGAAGCATGGGAGAAGGAGACTCGTTCCAGAAACCATGCACACACATACACAACAATTTTTGATGGCGTTTACATGTCTGCCTACTAACAAATAGAGACTGTTAAATCTGTAGCTATGTAGATGAATAAACTTCATACATATAATGGTTACATATATCTATATATGCACAACAAGATAAGCACAGTAGGCAACAACACAGAGAAACAATCACCTGAGTTCATAATTATGTAGTTATTCCATATATGGGAGTGGACTTAAAAGAGTCGCATGTAGACAGACGGACGGACAGACAGTCAGTCAGTCAGGCAGACAGGCAGACAGGCATGTTGTAACTACCCAACCCGCTGGTATACGTCCATATTCATGGAGATAGGTCACTAACTTTTTGACTAGCTTGCGAGCTAACTAGATGCATAAGGACAAAAACACAAATCTTGGCACGTTTGAATGTTCAACCCGATTTAGTCATTCTATCTTTTGGCTTATTTCGATAGTTGTACTTGTAGAGAGATGCAAAGACATGGGAACATAACTCTGAAGCCAAGCCGTGCCCTGTGTCTCGCGACAAAACGCCAGGGAGCCTTGCAAAGAGGAGCCGCGGCGCTCGGGGCGAGGCATTCAGCCAGCCCAATCTAGGTGCCAGTGAAAATCCAAGGAATTTCCCATAGTTTGGGCAAACCCTAAACCCTAAAGCCCCTAAACCCTAAACCCCTAAACCCTAAACCCCGAAACCCTAAACCCTAAACACAGGTGGGGTCGGGAAAAACGCCAGAAGCTGTCCTACAAGTGGAGTCCTGGAGCGAGGCTATGGCTTTCGCAGCGCCAAGTTTCGAAGCTTCACAGCGCCAGTCGATTCTGGACCCCACCTGCCCAAACCGTAGAGTTTCCGATACAATAAGTATATAATAAGTATCACGTTATTGTGGTAATTTGCGATGGATTCCTGGAGAAGGATGCAGTAGGGCAACAAGGCAGCTAAAGTTGGGAGTGAGTGTGCAAGCTTGACGTGGTTAGATACCCCCAAACCCCAAACCCCAAACCCTAAACCCTAAACCCCTAAACCCTAAACCCTAAACCCCTAAACCACAAACCCTAAACCCCTAAACCCCAAACCCGAAACCCTAAACCCCAAACCCAAAACCCCTAAACCCTAAACCCCTAAACCCGAAACCCGGAAACCCGAAACCCTTCCTGAGCCCGGGAGCCGGATTTCCGGCTCCAGGATTCCTCCACGATGCGGATCTTTTTCGCTGATTTTTTTTGGGTATAGGATTAGGGTTTAGGGTTTAGGGTTTAGGGTTAGAATGGCTTGGGCTGGGGTCCAGGGTTGTCTTGGAGTTTCCGAGGTTTTAGGGGCGAGGGATGTAGGAGTTTAGGGGCTGAGTCTCAGGCTTATGCTGGTGGGCTTAGGGGGCAAGAATGAGTCAAAGGGGAAGAGGAGGGGCCCTTAATAAGGACCCCTAGGTATATATATTCTTGATATAGCTATGATATACCCATGATATGGCCCATTGTAGGGTAGGGGTCCCCAGTAAGGGTCCCTCCTTTTCCCGTTTGAAATGAGTTTCGTCTCTGCTGGCACGAATTCCATGTAGTGCAGCGCGAGAACCCATAAATCCTCAGCCCCAAGCCCTCACCGAGTCGCACGCGAAGGCTGATGTAGACTACCACAGCCACACTGTTAGCATAGTGTCCTACCCAATTGCAGCCCCCGGTGATTGCATATATTGCTTGTTTTATAACTCTAGACAGAATCAACGCGACATTGTCCTATCAGCACCCCTCATAGAGCGTTCTGAGGCCTCATTGAACAGAGAGCCTACACGCGCCAGGTATAAACCCACATCGACCGAGGCAAAGAAACGTTCATAAAGCCTTAATTGTTCAAAACTTAAAGCCTGGAGCCAAAATCCTAAACTCCAAGCCGTAAATCTGAAGCCCACAGCCCTGAACCCTTAAATCTGAAACACAAAACCCTCAATCCGTAAGACTTAAACCGTAAAACCCTACAGAAACTGCGGCAGGCACCTCGCGGCGGCATGCGCGCCGAGCGCGAAGCCCCCGGCGGCCGCGGCGCCCGGCTAGGAGTGGTTGGGGATGTAAAGCTTATACTTTCAGGGTTTGGGGTTCAGAATCTCGGGTTTAGGGTTTAGCCTAGGGTTCAGAGTTTAAGGTTTGGGTGTTAGGGTTTAGGGCTCAGCGTTAGGGTTTGGGGGTTTAAAAGTTAGGGTTCAGGGTTCAGGGTTGAGGGACCAAAGCCCTTCAACCCTCAGGCCTAACTCCAGCATCCTTTAGGCCCTGCACACGAGACCCAAGACCCCTTAAGAACCCTCTAAGCCGGAACACTGAAATCTAACTTCTCGAAACCTTGCGACCCTTGAAGAACCTTCTGAGCCTAACCCCGAACCCTCAGGTCCTTGAAAGGAGCGGGTTCGTTGAAGGAACCCTTGATGGAACCCATAACAGGGATCCCTTAACACCCTAAGCCCTGAACCCAAAACCCCCTTAATGCACCCTTAAGGGCACCCCTGAGCCAGGGAAGCGAACAGGAGAAGTGACCGGGGCCGCAGCCGAAGCCGGCGGCCGGCAAAGCCCAAGCGCTCACCGAAGGCCGGACGCTGCGAGGATTCAGGCGTTCCTCAAACCCTAAACCCTAAACCCCTAAACCCAAAACCCTATTCAAGGGTTCCGTATTTGAGGGTTCTTTGGAGGAGCCGGTTCCTTTGCTTTGCATAAGTCGACTTGCTTCAGACATTAACTAGGCTGCTTTTACCAATTTGCCATACTTTCTCATCTCCATGATCCTTTATAAGCAAGTCCTACACCCTACCTAAACCCTAACCCCTAAACCCCAAACCCTAAACCCTAAGTGTGAGGAGCGGGCCCGGATTTTTAGGGGGTGGTTCTCTAAATTAGGGTCCCTGTAGGGTCCTGTCATAAGGGGTGCCGTACGATTGTTGGGAGCTAGGAAAAAGGGGCCCTAATTTAGGGAGCTACCCACATGGGAGTTTCCGAAAATAGGGGACCCAAATATAGGACCCCAAATAGTAGGATCCTTATTATAAGGACCCCCAAATAAGGTAGCCCCAATTTCGGAAACTCCCTCAACCTTAAACCCTTTCTAGAACCCTTGTAGATCCCTTTAAAGGAACCCTTAAAGGTACCCCCCAATTTCGGAAACTCCCACATCTTGCCCTGAGCCCTCTCACCCTAGACTCCGAAGCCCCGAGCCCGACTGAAGGGACTTCGGCTTCAAGGTTTTTAGGGTTTAGGGGCTTTAGGGGGCTTTAGGGTTTGGGGTTTAGGGTTTAGGGTTTAGGGTTTGGGGTTTGGGGTTTAGGGTTTAGGGTTTAGGGTTTGGGGTTTATGGTTTAGGGTTTAGGGTTTGGGGTTTAGGGTTTGGGGTTTGGGGTTTAGGGTTTGGGGTTTGGGGTTTAGGGTTTGGGGTTTAGGGTTCGGGGTTTAGGGTTTAGGGTTTAGGGTTTAGGGTTTGGGGTTTGGGGTTTAGGGTTTAGGGTTTAGGGTTTAGGGTTTGGGGTTTGGGGTTTGGGGTTTAGGGTTTAGGGTTTGGGGTTTGGGGTTTAGGGTTTAGGGTTTGGGGTTTGGGGTTTAGGGTTTGGGGTTTGGGGTTTAGGGTTTAGGGTTTAGGGTTTGGGGTTTAGGGTTTAGGGTTTAGGGGTCGAAATCGCATAAGCACAATAAGTATGAAGCTAATCATAGTAGCAACGGCGGTATTTAACGAAAATCAGAATAAGACTACTTGTAGCAATAGTATTAGAAAGGCGTCGACTGAGCTCGATCCTCGATCTTTCCACTTTGGATTTCCGGAGGTGCACCGGTTCGGATGTAGTTCGAGATTGAGGCTTTGGAGACTGTAGCGACGTGAGGATACGGTTTAGGTTGCGTGAGGTAGTGCATAGACCTAAGATGCCAGGAGCATCTAGACATACAGTTTGCATATCACATTAAACCCCGAGCCCAAAACTTACCTTTGGTTAGTAGGGAATGAAGAATGGTACCCCATTCCTCCGTTCCCTACTACCCAAGGTAAGTAAATGCTCGCTAGACGCACTCACGGGCTACAGACTTTAACCGACAAGCTCGTTGTTAAATGTAGCCCTAAACCCTAAACCCCAAGACCCTAAACCCTAAACCCTAAACCCTATGAGCTACTGCCATAAATCGCAGACTACCTCATGCCTGCGAGCTACCACCCTCTGCAGGACCCTGAACCCTAAGCCCGCTACTGCACGCTAAACCCTTCCCCCTACTGGACCCCCTAAGCCCCAAACCCTAAATCCTCTAAACCCTACACCCCCAAGCCCTAAACCCTAAACCCTCTAAACCCTAAACCCCTAAGCCCTAAACCCTCTAAACCCTATACCCCTAAGCCCTAAACCCTCTACTGCGCCTTGCAGGGGTGGCATCAAACCGTATCCAAAGCCCTCATTCGTGGTTTAGGGTTTAGGGCTTGGGTTAAGGTTAAGACTTTAGGGTTTAGAGTTCAGGGTTTAGGTTTTGGGGTTCAGGATTTAGAGTTCAGGGTTTAGGATTTAGTGTTTAGGGTGTTTGTTCCGTGCAGGGGCTGCGGCTGCGCTCAGCTCATCCGCATCGGAGCCCGCACGCGAAGCTCGCGGGGGGCAAGGGATCGAGGGGCTGAGAGTTTTGGAGTTTCGTGTAATGTTGGGTTTAGGGTCTACCCTGCGGCTCCATAGTAGTTCCTTTTTAGGGGTTCATATTTAGAATCCTATAAGGGAATTTTAAAAAGGAACTACTATGGAGCCTCTGGGTAGGGTGGTAGTCATTCTTGTTTCTACATTGCGCCCTAAAAGACACGCTGTGCTTGAAGAGCCGACTTTCGGATTACAAGCCGCCCGTTCTTCAATAGTACAGGTATTTCATGATCGTGCTCTTGCTGTGTAGCACATTTTTGGGTGTACGAAGTGACAACTCTTGCCTTTCTTGCTTACACCGATCGACACACGAGGATCTGCGGATGTCGATCAACACGAACATGTTCATGTCCGTGGCCATTTTGGTATATATGAGGTCCGATCTTGAAAATTTGTTTTCTCTCACCCTCCATTCCCTAGATCACGTTACATATGTGATTTTCCTGTGCTTTCTGTGTCTGCGAGAGCCGACCGGGAAATCGATCGGTCCTCTAGACGGTGAAAAGCATTTGTGTACGAGATGGAGAACACCGATCGGACTTCTAAGGAAGCCCGAATATCGCAGACTACGCCACCGTTGCTAAAGCATTTGGAAAAGAAGTCTGTACCGGTCAGGGATGTATGACTGCCACGTGAAAGCTTTGTTGTCCTTGGTACTACGGATGCGGTTCTGGAGTTTAGGTGCATTTCTTCATTTGTTGCCGGCCCATGTGCATGTAGTTATAGTAGCCAGACCTGCTCCGTGTGCTTGGAGGTTCATGGGTAGGTATAAGTGAGGTTACGAGTCCGCGTAGTATGGGTTATAGCTGGAGATTCTGATAGCTCTACTTTTCTCTCACCGTGAACCTCCAAGTTGAGGGTGTGAACAAGTGTTGTTTCCGTTACTGGTATTCTCTGGGCAGCGGTTCAATAGATGGTAGTTCCGACAGGTTCAAGGCTATCAAATACAACCTAATCCGAAGCCCTAGGCCTACACCCGAAACCTTAAAAATCGGAAGGGATGGCAGGGAAGAAGACATTGGTTAAGATGTTTAGAAAGATTGTGTCCGACCCCAGTTGGCATCGCAGATGTGCAACACCATTCCAAGCAGTTCAACACCCAAATGTACTTGGAGGTTCATGGGTAGTTATAAGTCTGTCAATATGGGTTATAACTGTAGTTATCCTACTTATAACCCTATTTATAACTGCCCATGAACCTCCAAGTGTAGGGGCCTCAGTGATCCTCTGCTCCGGACCGTCCACGACCCCTAACCTTAAATCCCAAGCCTTCAAACCGGTAAACCCACACCCTAAATCCCGAAGTGGCCACAAAGCCGCATCATAGAACCCTGTAGAACCAGTAGAGTCTCGAAACAAGCAAAAGAACAGCCTTTGCAGAACTCCGAAACCCAAAAATCCCTCTGACAGCCGCGACCGGAAGCGGAGCCGAGAGAGACAAGGAGATCCTCCGAAAAAGGCGCCTTTTGGGTGTGATGGGGGGGGGGGCAGGGGGTGGCGCCTTTGAGGTTTCACGGGCTGAGGGCATCGGCTATGGGGGTTAAGGATTCTTTTCTCGTCGAGAGCTTTTTTTCCGGTGCTTAGCTTGCTTAGCTTATGAAGGTTTTATGAAAGGCTTCTACATTGCCTGCTCTCTTTGGAGTTAGGGCTAGTGCAAGCGCTTCTGAATCTTTCACTGGCGACTGCTCTAGATACTATACTTGTTAATGTTGTCTCACAGGTTTTAGGGTTTGTGACTTTCTTCTGGGGTTTGTGGGCTTAGGCTTAGGCTTCCTTTCGACCGTGGCTGCTTGCATGAAGCGCTGTCCAGGGCCGGAGGATGCTCCGGTTTTTCATGTCGGGGTTCCGCGTTGATTTAATCTGCGGTTTCAGCCTCGACGGGGAACTGGGGTTCTCGGCCTGTGCCACAGGCTGGGGCCGAATGCAGAAACAGCAGAGCAACATAGGGGCCTAAATGATTACCTATACCATTTTGCGGGTTCCTCTGCATAATTGGAGTATAAGGGGCCCCCAAAAAATATTCTAATTTCTAGGCCCCTATAGTAGAATTCTAGGAAGTGTCAGGATGATTGCAAGCCCTGTTGGCTCCATGAACGTCAAGAGCTCTTCAAGTCCACCTGCCCGCAACTGTTGATGATGAAGTCCAAGGCTCCGAAACAAACACGTGCTTGTCCCAACTGCCCAGCCCTGCGACTCGCCGCCAGCATGCGATGAAGGCAGATTCGGTGGAGAAGCACAACAAGTCGCTGCTGCTCGTGATCGCCGTCTGTTAGAACAAGACGGACGAAATCTACGTGAAGGCAGGAGTCCAGTACAAACACCAGTGGACAGTGGGAACACAGTGGCCCGCTTTTGGCAGCGGGCGTGCTGGAGAAGATGGACAGCAATGGTGGTGGCACCACCGCCTGCAAGCGGAGTGGTGCTTTCTATCGGACAGCATGAAGCTGTCTGCAGATTCGGGCATGAAGGTCATGGCCTTTTCATGTGGGTGGAAGCATACAACCCATGGATTGGAATTGTTGTTGGGCACCAACGGTATGGCAAAGGCGCACGTTTGAGTCTTGAGGATGACCGGACAGCGGGAGAATTGGCCGAGTCGGGGAGCTCTCGAGGAACAGCCAACGGTTTTGGCCTGGAGCGAGAATGGAGGCCGGTACGGTCGGCATAAGTCAAGACCGGTAAAACAGAATGGACACCATGGGTCGGGATGCACCGTGCATAGAATCCTCTGCAAATTGAGTGCCCGCCGTGGCCAGAGTGGAATGCAAGACCACATACCGACCTGGCCGTTTCAACAGCGGAGCACGGGGCTCACGATAGAGACGCAAAAAAAAAGTGCGAACAGATCACGAGATTCTGCCAGCAGTGGCCGAATTTCCCCATTCGGCGCTAGAGGGTACAAGTGAGGGCCAGCTCGGCCAGACAGAATTTGGTGACTGTTCATGAGGGCTGCGCGTGTGGAAAGTGCGTGACTCCAACCGAAGCCGCCGGGCCCACGGAGGTTAACACGGTGCTGTTCGAGGAGCTTTGAACTCCCGATGACCGAAGCTGGGGGAAGCGATGGCGGAACGGAACATCCAAGACCGCAGACTTGCAACAGAGCTTGCCTTGAGTCTCCAAGAACAGGCATGAACAGGCATGAACTTCAAGACTTTTGACTTTTTCAGGATAGAACGTGTGGGTTTTTGCGCGACCTGGGCATTGTCCGGTGGCAGGGATGTGCGATGCACCAGCCCGAAAAGTTTCAGAGAGAACAAGTTGCGACTTCACGAGCAACAGTGACAGCAACGGGACGAAAGGGGCAAATCTAAGCGCGTCTGTCCGTGGCTTGCCTGTGCAATGCACATTGCGGACTAGACTAGCAGCCTTTTATTTATGCACAAAGCAAAGACTCCAACAACAGCTTGGAGGAATGGTGCAGATTCGCAGACCGTAGGCGCAGCTAGGGGTCAGGGTGCGGCAGCACCAACTTGGACGACTGTTTTTTTGGGTTGGCACTGTTGTGGGAAGCCGGCAACGAAAACCACATGCTCTTTCGAGCACATCGGTTTTCACATGGTTACCGATCAACCATGCTTCTGGAAAAGACCAAATGTCCATTGCGGCCGCACGAGGAGGAGAATCAAAGTCGTCCGCGCCGCTGCCGCCGCTCGCCCGCACGCGCCACTCGCGCCACTCGCGCTACTGCTATGCAACAGGAACGAGTGGACCGGAGCGGGTAAGGCACAGAGCGAGTGGAACGATTGGAACAAACTTCATTGGCCCCCCCCAGATCTGAAACCGCGCAAGGGGGGGTCGTCGCGCCACTCGCGCCATGCACTCGCTCCACTCACGCCACTCGGGCCACTCGTCACTCGCTCTATATAGACGAAAGGAATGAGTGGAACAGGTAACGCGCAGGGCGAGTGGCGAGTGGCACGAGTGGAGCGAGTGGAACGAGTGGAACGGTAGAATGAGTGGAACGACTGGAGCGAGTGGAGCGGTCGGAGCGAGTGGAACGAGTGGAGCAGCGCAACGCCGACGCTTTCAAAATGTCGAAGACTAGAACCTAACTCGTATGGCGGTATGTGCAGCGGAGATTAAGTTGCGCCACCTGGTTTTTTGCTTGTCAGCTGGCAGCAAAGCGGCAGCCTCTTGCAGTGGCCGGCTGATTGTGGCAGCCTATACGTACCGTCTAATGTCTAATATTGATCACATCGCGGTTGATATGTCTGCCGTCTGCAGATCAACCTTCAAAGGGAAATTGTATGGCGATGTGTGCAGCAGATCAAACTCAGGGGTCAAGGGCCGACATGGGGGTTTGGCGGACACTTCGGTGGGAAGCTGCAGCAGCTTCCACCTACGGCATCAAGACGATGCATGCCTCTGCCAAGAAGCGGCATGAGCGGGCCACAATTGTCCACGAGCCCAATGCCCAAAAACGTGTGGAGTTCATTGCTAAACCAGTTGATACGCCTTGATCTGTGATGGCCCATCAGACTAACGGGACATTCGTGTTGCCTCGGCATTCCAGGCGCCCAAACTGGACAACGCGATTTCGCCACAGGTGGGGTCTTGGCAGAGGGGTGCACAGACAGAGCTTGCGTGCAGCATTTCCATTCGATAACAAACAAGCATGTCTTTCCAGCTGCCAGCTTCGATGCATGTTGAACTTTTTTGCGACTGATGTATTTCCGCAAGGCACACCGCAGGCGCAGTCGATCACGACGACCGCGGCCTGCTCAAGGGCCCCGGTGTCTTGGCACTAATGCAAGTTAAAGCAGACAGTCAAAGCCGTAGGTTTCAGGGACGTGACCAATGGGCATCGAACATGATGACACATGGACCCCTAAGAGCAGCACGTTCTACGTTCGCGGAGCGGCTCTGCAGCCCGGTGAGTGTTCATGCACTTGTGCATGATACGCCGAGGTCGCGAAGCCAACCGAGGCGACAAAGATCGCCGCAGCTTGGAATAGTGTTTTTCGCTAAGGTTTTGCAACGTTTGCATGTTTTTTTTTAAAACTTTTTTTTTGGGAAGTAAGGGCAGTCTGACGCCATGACTTTGCGGCCGGTGCCGCTAACTGCAGGCCCCAGCCCTCGAAGCGGAATGCCTCACCGCCGCGATCGGCAAAGTCCCCACCGCGGCCGGCGCGGTCGTGGCTTGCACAGCATTGGGTTGGCGTGCTGTTTCATGCGTTCCGGTGTTCGAGTGCCACCACGGTTTCCGCTTGATGGTCCGACGGTTAGCTCAGGTTTTTTTGATTGGGTTCCCGGAATATCTTAAGGTTTCGAACCCTATTGTAATTTGCTGTCCAAAGGTTCCATGCGTTCATCCGGGTATTGGTTGATCCAACTCCACCCATAGCAAAACCAATAGGACCCTGAATGACAAGATTCTTACAGTAAGTATCTTTCTTTGCGCGCCGGCAGAGGCAAACCCCTAGACCCTCTAGCAATACATGGTCTTTGATTGAAACCCTGCGGTCCTGACCTCAAAGCAGACCCTAGACCCTGGAATTACGACTTTGTCTTGAAGCCTGTTTTTTTCGACTATGGTCGTATAGTAACAGAAGACGGCAAAAAAGTACCTTGCTTTATTCTTGAAGTTCATGGATTGCCCGACTCACCCACGCATGACTCTCCAAATAGTAGGATACTTATTATAAGGACCCAAATAAGTTACCCCTAGTTTTCTGAAACCCCCTTACATGCACACATGAAACACCGAGAGAACCCGAGGCCGGTAAAGAGCCGGGGCCCCTCCCCCACGAAACCTCAGCGATCGGAAGGTCCGGGAAGGGGGTCATGGTTTGGGGGGTTTTGGGGTGCTAGGCTTTGTAGGGTGTAGGGTTTAGGGCCAGGGTTTGTATTAGGGTTTAGGGTTTGGAGTTTTGGGTGTAGGGTTTAGGGTTTAGGCTTTGTAGGGTTTACGGTTTAGGCTTCAGGCTTTGGGGTTTCGGGTGTAGGGTTTAGGGTTTAGGCTTAGTAGGGTTTAGGGTTTTAGAGTTATGGGGCATCAAATCAAGGGGTTGAGGTTTATGGGGTGGGTTTAGGGCCAGGGGTTCGGGTTTCGGGTCGGCTTAGAAGAGTTCTTAGAGTTTCAAGGGTTTGTACGGGGTTCACAGATAAGTAAGAGTTGTCAACTAGTTCAGAATTTTTATGGTGTTTCTCTGTTTTTTGATTGCAGGGCTTTGTATAGGCAAGGGTTTCGGGAGTTCAAGGCGTCCAGGAAATTTGAAATTGGGTGCGAGCATTCGGTTTAGGGCTTTTGCTTTAGGGTTCACGGTTTAGGTTTTGGGTTTTGATGGTTTTGGTGTAGGGTTGAGGTGAATTCAGTAGGGTTATGAGCTTTCGTGCATGTTTGCACCTTCTGTTCCTGTGCAACCTTGTTTGAAGGGCTGTCGGACCGCAGGTTATACTTGTTATAAGTATCCCCAGAGAGCCCAGTACCCCTTAATTAAGGAATATAGCTTAAATCATATTATGCGCCCCCTTATAATTTAAGGTATATTCCTTAATTAAGGGGTATTGGGCTCTCTGGGTCGGTAGAGTATTCTCCAAAACGGCTTCGAGGTTGGGGCGTGTAGAGATAGGAGGTCAGGACTTTTAAAGTTAGGAGGTCAGAGTTTTAGGGTACCCTACGTAAGCCCTAAGCCGTAGTTTATATTGGAGGTCATGGATGTTCAGGGTTTAGGGTTCTAGGGTTTTGTGACAGAAGTGTTTAGGACTTTCAGGGCTGCTGGTTGAGGCTTTAGAGGTTTTTTTTGTAAGAGGTTGGTTTTCGGCTGCAGGATGTGGCTCTGCAGTTTGGGGTTTGGGGCCATCCAGTGCTTCAAGGCTGTTGCGTGTCTTGGGTTTTCGCGGAGCGGGAGGTAGCAGCGACAGCCAGCTTCTGTGAAGGGGGTTCAGGGCGTGTAGGGTTTCGGCCGAAAAGAAAGAGCAAACGGGACCCTTATCCTGGGGGCACTCTGAAACTTAGTTCATGGAAGCCAACAAATGTGTGCTTGTCAAAATTAGGGTCCCTTTTTGGACCCCCTAATATAGTACGGCACTTAATTCTTAGCGTACCCAAAAAGGGACCTTAATTTTGACAATAACCCAAATGTTCCAATCAAAAGTGTGGGGGCTGTGGTGCTGATCAAGGTGGTGATGACGTCTGGTGCCACAAACCCTACGCCCGACACCCTGCGGCGAGCCCTAAACCGTAGTATTGGTGGAGCAAAATCTCCACCATGTAGGAGCCTAAATAATTACCAACACTATTTTGGGGGTTCCTGATTATAAGTATAGTATAATGGGCCCCAAAACCTTATTCTAAACGGTTGCGGCCCCTGTATTATTGGTGGACCAAATCTGAATAACACTAGCAGCCCCCCATGGCAGGCGAGCCCAGGACGGGCGCCCCGGCCAGCCCGCAAAAGGCAGGATGTAGGATTCAGGTTGTAGGGTTTGAGGGTTTGAGGGTGATGGGGTCTTATCGGGGTTTCTCAAAGCGATCTAGGTATCTTGTTGGGTTTTGTAAAGTAAACTATATATATATATATCTATCTCTCTCTCTCTCTCTCTCTCTCTCTTTTCTAGTTTCTTCACCAATTTGTTCAGAAAGAGTCTGCATAATGGCTCGATACATCTAGCAGGTTCTATTTGGGGATTCTTGCAAGTCAGAGATCTATTTCTGTGTATCCGGACCCAGCTTACATGACATGCCTGGGGAGGTCCTCGGTCCAGCACCAGATGCATAATAAAGGGGCCTAAATTCAGTTACAAGTAATTACTAATACTATTTTGGGGTTCCTTAATATAAAAAACCCCTATTCTAATTATTAAGGCCCCTATATTAGGCTGTGCCACAGAGCTCCAGTCCCATTTCGCCCAAATCCTCAAAGTGCGAATAGTATAAGACGCCCAAAGATTCGACGACCCCGTTGCAACTGTCTACATAGGCCGGGTCCGCGGCTAGCCGACAGGAGCCACCATTCGGACACGTCATCCATACAAGACACGTAGCACTCCTGACCCAAACTCCAGAACCGAAGCTCTGTCCGGTTTAGGGTTTAGGGTTTAGGGCCCTGACAGAGACCGCAATGGCGTCACAGCCACCAGCAGTTCGCGGTCTCTGGAGACTCACAGTCAGAGTCATAGCAGAAGGAAGGACGCTTGATACGATCTAAGGCATGCTCCGTAAATCACGGGGTCCTCCGCATCATGGTCGTTCTTACCGCTGTTGTTCTTAATCTTATGCGTCCTATGCCGCATTGTCCAGCCGTTCTGGAGGCGCTGCCCACCCCCACGCCGGCACATCCGACCCAGCCTGCTTCGCAGTCGCTTGACGCAATCGGCATTTCCCCGCTCTATGCAAGCAATTGTTCTGATTTAGGGTTTAAGGTCTTCCCTTCAAGGCTACAAGGACGATGCCAAAAGGACGATGAACTTAGCTTTGGAGCCATCCCGACTGCAAGCTGCAGGAATGCTAAGTTCATCCCCAGCAAGCCTTGTGCTGCAATCTGTGGACACGCCTAAACCCTAACCAACATTTTTTCGAATTTCACACCAAGGATAGCCCTGCAGAAAGAGGAATCGCAGCCGCCTCCATCGAAGGGACCCGCTGCAAAGGACGACTTTGCAACAGTTCCCAAGGAGACGGTGGCAAAGGCTCCCCCATGCTGTTCAAGTCGCGCGCAAGCCCACACAGCATCAACCTATAGTCTCCATTGTAGTTCCTTTTTTTGGTTTAACCAGTTTAATATTAAGGTTCCTAAAAGGTAACACCAAAAAGGAACTACAATGGAGACTATAGGTAGAATCCTGCCTGATGTTTTGCATGCAAGATTCAACGTGCTCTGCATGTCGACACACGGGTAATTCCCGCCGTTCCTCCTGTGGCAACCATTGTGTCATAGTTGGGTAACATTCTACATTTTTATGGGTACTTAAACCCAATAAGGAATAAAGATATAAGGAATAGAAATTTGCACGTTTAACCCTATCCCAACAATGATCTAGCAACGGTGACGGCATGTTTGGAGCACGTGGCAGTCAACCTAAACCCTAAACCCTAAACCTCTTGTAAATTCGAGAGGCGGCAGGGGCCGAAGAAGACGAGCCTCTCGGCAGAAGGGCTTGGATTTAGGATGTGGGGTTAGGGTTTAGGAGTTTGGGTTTAGGGTTTAGGGTTTAAGGGTTTTGGGTTTAAGGGTTTAGGGTTTAGGGTTAGGGTTTAGGAGTTTGGGTTTAGGGTTTAGGGTTTAAGGGTTTTGGGTTTAAGGGTTTAGGGTTTAGGGTTAGGGTTTAGGAGTTTGGGTTTAGGGTTTAGGGTTTAAGGGTTTTGGGTTTAAGGGTTTAGGGTTTAGGGTTAGGGTTTAGGAGTTTGGGTTTAGGGTTTAGGGTTTAAGGGTTTTGGGTTTAAGGGTTTAGGGTTTAGGGTTAGGGTTTAGGATTTTGGGTTTAGGGTTTGGGGTTTCGGGTATGGGGTTCGGGTCAGCCGACGCGCTTCTGCTAATCTGTCAAACGGAGGGGATGATGCCGTGCGGCCCAGAGAAGGCTCATTCGTCACAGACGCGGAGGTATCAAAACTCGACACAATGTATCTCAGACTACCGTAGGATCTTTGGTATGGTCCAGCATGTAATAGAGTGTATATATATATATAATATGCATACATATATATGTACGTATGTGTGTATAGAAAATATCTACACACAAATATCTTTGTTGCTATCGTTTTGGGGAAGACGGGGTTCGAGCGAGCGCCCAAGCGCACTCGGGAGCTCGGCCATGGTCAACACTTAGGGGTACTTAGAAATAACTTTGAGTTTTGGGTTATTATAATCCCTAAGAGACGGCTAAAATTATGATGTTTGCTAGGGTTCTAAGTTCAGTATAGTCTCTCGTTAGGGTTTTGTGTTTAGGGTTTAGGGCTTAGGGTTTGGGGTTTACGGCTTAGGGTTTAGGGGTTTTAGGGTTTCAGGTTGTCTTGTGTGTAGCCACCACGAACAGTCACCAGGATAACGCACCTACCGTGGATCCGATGTAGTCGCCACGCGGGGCAACGAAAAGGAGCATGATCGCTACGACGGCTGCACGATGCGAGGCCGTTAGCCGCTAAACATGAACGTTGAAAGCCAGCAAAGAGCCAAGGAATGATACGATCGCGATTACGATTGCGACATGACGAGACGTCACTCGCGGAGCAGCGCGGGAGCCGTCGTGAAATCGGACGTTTCTGAAGGGACGGGCTCGCAGCTACGGCCCTAAACCCTAAACCCTAAACCCTGTACCCTAAAACATCCTTAGCGGCCCTGAACTAGAAGCCCCAAGCCCTAAAACCCGCAGGTAGCCTGTTTAGAACTTCCATAGCGACCTTACAGGAAACCCGTGAACATTCAAACTAAAGCCCAAAATCTTCTTCTATAGAATCCTTTAGGAGTCCCTTTCAAGAACCTATAAACACAGCCGATAGAATGGGGTCGGACAGATTGGCGATACTTTCTCCTTACTTGCTTTTCCAGTATCATGTCCTCCACACGCAACCCTATTCCCGATGTCTCCAAATCCTAAACCCTACGCCTTCTGTTGCTTACGGAACCCCATTTGTTTTTCAAAGCAGGTACGAGTATGAGTCGACGTCCAGCAGCTCCCTTGCCAGGCAGGTTTAGGGGTTAGGTTTAGGGGCTTAGGGGTTAAGTTAGGGTTTCTGGTTTAGGGGTTTAGGGTTTGGGGTATCTGGTGTTTAGGGTTCAGGAGGTTCTGTTTGACGGCGGGGGAGGGCGGCTGATTTTTCGATTTATTTCGAGCTTGGTTCGTTCTTTGATTATTTTGGGTCTGCTTTTATGGGCGGGTGTTGATATGTTTGTTGGTGAAAGATGCTGAGCTTTACCCCGAGCTTCGTTTCGGTCTTTGGTGTTGTCCACCGCCCACTACCCCGGCTGTCGAGTTTGTCATAAGGACCCTTAGGGGGGGTAGGGGGAGGGGGTAGGGGACTTCAATACCTATAATCAAGACTAGTTAAGGCCTATTTAATCATGTCAATGTAGAGTCCCCTCCCCCCTTCCCCCCTAAGGGTCCCTTGAGTTTAGTGGTTGCAAAGTTAGGAAATTTGGTGGGCACAAGGCGGCCTGGAGCTACCTGTTCAAACGTTTCATTCGACCTGGATCAGCGCATAAGCGCGAGTATCGTGGCCCAAGACCGGAACCCTTCATAACCCGTAGAATAGCCCTGAAGTGCTTTTCACCTCAAACTCACGTCGTGCCTCGGCAATCCGTACACCCTGAACCATGAACCTCAATTACACCCCTGAACCCTAAACCTTAGAACCAAAAACCCAAGCCCAAAAACCTAAACCCTAAACCCTTAAACCCTAAACCCCAAACCCTAATCCTCAAGCCCTAAACCCTTAACCCTAAAAAGCCTTAAGCCCTAAACCCTAAATCCTACACCCTTAAACCCCAACCCCTAAACCCTAAACCCCAACCCCTGCGACCCCCAGGCGGTCCAAGCAGAAGAAGGAGGATCGCCGACCACACGGACCCAGGGCCGACGCAGCTTTTTCCAAAGAGATATTGTGGGTTCGGCTGCTTTAAAGGGATCTATAAGGGTACCCTTTAAGGGCTTCCTTATAAGGGATCTATAGGGCTTTGGGGTTTAGGGTTGGCGATATAAATCCTCGGGTTCTTGCAAAGGGATCTATATGGGTACTCTTCAAGGGGTTCCTTTAAGGGATCTGTAGGGTTTTGGGGTTTAGAGTTGATGATAATAAAGCCGCAATTACCTTTAGGACCCGAAACTATACCTTAATTCCTTATGGTATACTTCCTAATGCAGGGTTTATATCATCAACCGTAGTTCTCCAAATCAGTGTGCCTTTTATGATGCTCGTGCTAAAAACAATACTGCTACTCATACTACGACGACGACGACGACGACTCCTACTACTACTACTACTACGACTACGACTACGACTACTACTACTACTACTGCTACTACTACTACTAATAATAATAATGACAATAATAAGAGTAGTTAGAAAATAGGACCGCAATAATAACAGCGGTAAGAATGTTGATGAAACTGAAAAGATAATGATAACAAGGATAGTTAGAATAATGATCTTCATGAACATCATGATAATCATGTTAATAATGCTTAATTTCGCATGCTTGTATTACTGGAACTAGCCATGTCGTGGTCTTGATCCCTAAGCCCTTAGCCCAAAACCCCTAGCCGTTTTGAGCCCTGAAGGCCATCCTGAGCCAGTTACACCCTAAACCTAACTTTATGCCTCTTCGCTTTGGCTGTCATGGTTTAGGTTTTGGGGTTTAGGGCTCATCTCTTGGTCGCTTGGCGTCTTGGGTGCCAGAACCTGCCCTTGCACCAAAGGGAACCCCATGTGCACGCATAGGCAGTCGCACAGCAGCCAAAGAAAGAAATACATGAAGAAAGACACAAAGAATAACGACGTACAGAAAATCAAGAAAGACACAAGCGAGCAAGCAAGCAAGCACACACACTCACAATCCCAACAACCAACCAAATGAACAAGCAAGCAAACAACCAACCAAACAAACACACAAATACACACACACACAAACAAGCAAGTACATATATATATATATATATATATATACACACACACACACACGCACAAACAGGCACATATGCCAACAATCAAGCCAGCAAGCGAACGAACAAACAAGCAAACAAGCAACCGCACACACAATGGGGAAGACAAGCCTCAAGTAAAGTGGTAGTAGGAGCAGAGATGGGAGTTTCGTTTATTTGGAGACCTGCTTCAACCGTCCTACTGTTAAGGCCCCAAAGAGTAATCCCTTTTATCCAAGGAAAGCTGGCCATACCTTCAAACGGCTGCCGGGATCTTAGATGCGAGTCATAGGGACACTTAGGGGGAGGGGGCAGGGGAGTAGGGTTCCTTTAAGGGGTCTTTTAGGGTATTACAAGGGTACTTTAAGGGTTTAGGGATTAGGGGGAATGGGGTAGGGGACTATACTTCCGTAATAGGCCTTATTAAGTCCTTATCATGCGCATCAAGGCCCCCTACCAGCTCCCTGGTTCTTAGTAGGGAAGTTTAGGGTTTAGGGTTTGTGCAGTCTCTTCTCCCTGGTCCTTAGTAGGGAATGGGGGAATGGATCCCGCAAGTCGTCCCTATCTAATCCCCGATAGTAGTCTCCATAATACATTCCCTAATAAGAACCAGACAGTCTTCGCGATCACTTACGGGAGTTTAGGGTTGGTTCAGGGTTTTGGGTGTTTAGGGTCATTGGGGATTCGGGAGTCTAGGATCAATGTAGGGGCCTAAATTACCACTACTATGTTGGGGTTCCTTATTGCAAGTAGCTAGTATTTACCCCACAGACCTGTTCGAATCACCCAAAGCCCCGCGAGTTCAGGGTTACAGGGGTTTAGCAGTTTAGCATCACTGGGCGTTTGTTTGGCCTGCGGCGTGTCGCCGAAAGTTCAAGCGGCCAGGGCCCCTTGATCTTGCTCACCTATGTGGGGTTTAGTAGTGTTCAAGGGCGTGGGGTTTAGGGTTTAAAGATTTAGGGTGTAGGGTTTTCTCCCGGCACTAACAGCCGGGAAAGCCATGCACCTTTTGGACCCTGCTGGTTCTATGCCCTGTGCCGACTTGCCCCAACGTTGCGTCATGGTTCACTTGCAGGTTTGGTGTTTGCGGGTTTTAGGTCACCCTCAAACCATGTTGAGGTCCTGGAAAAGACGCATTTGATTCCAGTTGTGCGTGTATTTAAACCGCATTTGCATTTATCATTGTTATGTGTTGTTCTGTTGGTGTGTTGTTGGTTGTTGCTTGTTGTTCTTTTTCTTTTAACGTGCGCCGTTTGTAGTTATTGTGTCATCTCTTAAGTACTCTTGTGCTGAGTGCCCTAACTATTATCATCATTGCTGTTCTTGGTGTTTTTGTTGTTGCATTGTGCCGAAGACGCACCACCCTACTGCCCTAACAGTCCTTCAAACCAAGATTCTCCAAGACTCTAGCATCCTAAGATCGAGAACCCTGATGTTACAACACGCTTAACCCTGGAACCCTCAAATTCCTGAGCAGTGCTACGCCACTATGCCAACTTCGGGACTTATTCTGACTAGGGTGGGTAAACTTACAACCATGCCTAACATTGCTGTAGGCCTTCAAGAAAGGATCGAGGAGAAAGAAAGAAACTACCCACCTGGCAGAACCTAGGCTGCAGTCGCACCTTTGGTGGCCGCGGCGATGACTTCTTCCATGGCCCCATCGTTCCTTGAGTCAACTAGGGTTCAAGGCCTTGGGCATTAAGGCCTTGTTGGGTAATTAATGTAGAAACCTGATTAAGAAACCCTGGGCCTACCACCCCAAAATAGTAGGATTCATATAACGAGCCCTAATAAAGGCCCAAGGTTTCTTAATCAGGTTCCTCCTTTATTGGGGCGTTTGGGTGGGTACTGGGGTGTTGAGATTCAGAGGAAAGTGATGGGAGGTTTCGGGTGGAGCGGCTGTGAGTTTGGGAGTTTAGTCCTGTCAGCACCGGGAAGGATGGACGTTTCTGTCGGTTTGGGGTTTCGTGCTTTAGGCTTTCAAGGTTTCGGGTTTTAAGATTTAGGGATGTTTGGTTTATAATTAAACACATGGCAGTTCAATTGTCATGAGCTGCTTTGCCAGTTGTCCAGCACTTAACCCAGTGGTGCATAGTCATTGGACCAACAAATCCGCCACCAGGAGCCATCAGTTAAGCTCCTTAGATGATTTCCCTCACATCCCAGACTCTACTTTGATCAGATAAATTCAGAGTGTATCACGAACCGATTCGTTTCGTAGATTTGAGAGTTCTTGAGCAGTGCTTTTTCATATATATTCTTGTTCGCAGTGTATATGACGTATATGAGTTTCGCAGTCCTCAAAGCCTGAAGTGTCGACTCGAGGAAAAGCTGCAGATCCATAGCCCCGAATGAAAGCTGCTGGGTAAAGGTTCGGGAAATTTGCTTGACGGTGTTTAGGTTTAGGGTTTGGGGTCACTGACTCAAAATCACGGGTCCTCGTTTAATCATAGAAACAGGCTTAGACCCGATTTTTTATATTCAGCCATCCTTAGTGGTCCCAGCCATGGCTGATGCCCTTAAGCCGCCAAGCTTTGAATTCGCCAAACAGAGCCATTAACCCAGCACCTTGAGCCCCACGCCTTGAAGGGGAATCCAAGCCTGAACCCCGAAGCCCAGAACCTTGGGGTCTTGGAAGCCTTGATAGTAGACCCCTAGCCACCTAAACTCTGAACCCCTGGACACTACACGGTCAGCCCGAAATCCTAAACCTTGGAACCCTCACCCTAAGCGCTTCAACCCCAAACCCTAAAGCCTAAACCCTGAACCCTCACGCTTAGAGCCGAACAGCTCAGGCCGGCGTTTCCTCCTGGCAACTTCAACCCCCTCGGTGTTTTGGCAGCTACTTCGGGAGGGGGACAGGATCGGGTTTATGGGGTTTCTACCAGTAGTAGAGGTAGTAGTAGGAGTAGAAAGTAGTCGTGGTAGTAGGTGTTGTAGAAGTGGTAGTACTGGTGATAGTGTTACTAGTACTCTTACCAGTACTAGCAGTGGTAGGAAACTGCTCCAATAATATAGGGGCTTAAGCAACTACCAGTACTATTTTGGGGGTTCCTCCTTATAATTATAGTTGAATGGGCCCCGAAACCCTGTTGTAATTGTTCAGGCCCTTACACCTCAAAGACCCCTTTGAAAGGATCCCTTTAAGACTCTAATTGTTCGAGGACCTAGAGTAAGCCCTGACTCCCTTTCTTAGGATTCAGGTTTCCTTATAGTCGCTTTTACCAAAAAGGGCACCGTTTTTTTCCTAGGTTACTCTTGGGTCTAGTATTAAAGCCCCTATATTATCTGGTCACCGCTCCATCGGATCGCTGAGACATTGCCTAAACTCTGCCTGAGCATCATGCCCGCGACGATCCCATTGGGGTTTACGGTTGTAGGGTTGAGGACGACGATCCCAAGAGCCCACGGATCCGGGCAAGCTTCAGCTTTAAGCATTACGCGCCACTATAAATATCGAACTCAAACCGCGACCCTTAGCCCCTGACACCCAACCCCTTCTGAAGCCAAACCCCTGAATCCCCAAAACGCCTTAATCAGTCGTAAAACCCTAAACCCTAAACCAAACCTTAAACCCTAAACCAAACCCTCAACCCTAAACCCTAAACCAAACCTTAAACCCTAAACCAAACCCTCAACCCTAAACCCTAAACCCGCATCCCCAAACCCCGGTAATCCCTGAAGCCTTGAGTCCACAAGACTCGAGGCTACAACGGCGCCTACGCCGCGAACTGGGGCTCTTGGAATCAAATGTATCCTTCTATGCACCTTGGCACTTTAAGGATTTGGGGTTTTAATGTCTTTAAGGATTTGGGGTTTTGATGTCTTTTAGGATTTGGGGTTTCAGTGTTTTGTGTTTAGGGTTCTGCGTTTAGGGGCCTCGCTGTGTTGAGGTTTGGGGTTCTTGGGGGTCTTTGGACTTGGGGATTAGGTTTGGTTTTGGTACTCGGGCTCGCCACCCATCGTATCCCTTTCGGGTTTGAACTTATCCCCTTTCATGTCAGTCAGGGGCTTAGGGCTTTCCATGCGGCATCCCCAGTAGGAGGTGGGGGTTTCGAGAGCCTGTCATACCTGTTAGCCTGTTAGGAGTAGGTGTCATCTTGTTCCAACGTTTAGCTTTATGCTAGCCACCCCCATTTCTTCGTTTAGTTTGTTGGGTTTGTCGTCGACCAGGAGTGACGCTTGCCGTAGCCCTTTAGATACTATACCCAGAGAGCCCAATACCCCTTAATTAAGGAATATACCTTAAATCATAAGGGGATTCATATTATGATTTAAGCTATATTCCTTAATTAATTAAGGGGTATTGGGCTCTCTGAGTAGATGGGCTTCAACATGCCTGCGACGTACGAGCCGTACAGGTCTGGCACGCCGCACCATGGCGGCTACAAAAGTGGACAGCGTGATCAGCTCCTCCCCGAGCACAGGGGGTTTGGGCTTTTGCGTACAGTTTTTTACCCTAAACTCTAAACCCGACCCACAACCCGCGAATCCCGAAGAATGAGTTGGTGTCGAGGAAGGCCCAGACTTTCGAACAACATTGTATGTGTGTATTTCTATATATGTAACGAACAAACAAATAAGTATATACGAGTATAATACGTGTGCTACACATAATCAGATACTGCTTATACTATAGTTTAGGTTAATATAGCACGATGTAATTAACGATACTATGGTGCAATGCAATGTAACACCCAATTACATAACATAATACAGTATGATATGAAAATTCTCACATACCATATAGCATATCCTAACATGTAAAGTAACATGATATTTGATATGATATGTCATGTTCTGGTTTGATTTGATGTCACATTTCACATGTTGTCATATCACAGAATATAGCATAATAAGACCTGCACTACAATGCAATTTAACACTTTGAAATACACTGTCATCTAATACAATACAACACAATAGAAACATGTGTACATAACATAATGCAGTATAACGTATATTGCAGTATTATTGTGTACAGTACAGCGTAATAAGTATAAATATAATACAAAACAAGATAATATATTATATAAGTGAAAGAGACTCTTGATCCCCTTATGGCAGATGCTACGATGCATCATTTCCGCGGTTTCGCCGAGGGTGCGGCTCTTCCGGCGTTTGCTAAGTTCTTGTTGGCTTCCTTTTGGGTTGGAGTTTGTGTCTGCTTTGACATGGGAGTTTCCGAAAATCGGGAACCCTAAGATAGTACCCTAAATAGTAAAATCTTTATTATAAGGACCCCAAAATAGGGCACCCCTAGTTTTCGGAAACTCACACATGAGGTCGGATCAGAAACGTCTTGCCAGTTCCGGTGCATTTCTCCCGCGGAGTTTAGGTTTTCACGTTAGTCTTTGAGACTTGGAGCTGTTCGGAGCTGTTCGGTTTAAGGATTCGCGGTGTAGACCTCAGGGCTCATGGAGATTCCAAAGCCAGCGTTGGCTCGGAAACTTATGGCAACGACTGGGTTTCCTACTGCTGGATCGACAGCACCAACAAACTGCCCCCTACACCCGAAAACCTACTGTAGGGGCCTCAATAATTACCTAAACTATTTTGGGGATTCCTTACTATACTTATAGAATAATATACCCAAAACCCTATTCTAATTATGAAGGCCCCTATATTAAATCAACGAACCTTCAAGGCTTGGCCCCTACTGGCAGCTTCAAACCATATTCTAAGTATTAAGGCACTTGCTATAGATCCCTTATAGACCCTTTCAAGGAACCATATTCTCAGTATACATTACACTGCTTTATGTTATGTACACATTCTGTTTATCGCCTGTGAAGCCCGACAGCTTATGCTGATCCAATGTCTGGGGCTTCCGGGCCCCGAGCTGGAGCTGCCTTCCTGGAAATCTGCTATAGGCTTTGACTATGCTATACTGGGTTATTACATATATGTACACACGTATGCGCATATATGGTCAGGCGTCTGGCGTTCCCAGCCCCCCCCCCCCCCCCCCCCCAAATGGTATGGTCTGCTAGGGTGGGGGGGGGGGCGGGGGCTGGCGTGTGCGGACAGGGGTCGGAGCCGTTGGAGCTGTCACTGGATGGTGGGATGGTGCTGGCGGCCAGGGCTCACACGCAAGCCCTTCGCAAGCAAGCCGTAAACCCTATAACGCAGCGCGTGCCCTTGTTTTGAGTAACCTTAAGTTGTACTTCCAACCCTACACCCAACCCTAAACCTCACCTAACTGCAGGCTCTAAGCCTAAAGCAGAACATACACCGCAAGTCCTCCCTAAGCCCTTGTCGACTCGAAGCGTTATACCTTGTAACCGCAAACCCAACACTCAAAAGCTTAAGCTAAACCCTAAACCCCAAAACCCCACAACCACCCCACAGGGGGAAGAGGGACCCCACACCCCACACCACAGGGGAGGGGGGGTCCCACCCTATATCCGGACCATTGACCTTTGGGGGGGGAGGGGGGGGGGGCCGCGGAGCGCGTGACCATATATACCTATATACCTATATATAGGAATACGTATGGGCATACGTATATATATATATATATATATATATATATATATATATATATGATCCGGTGCGGCCGACTCCCCCCCCCCCCCCAACTCCCCCCCCAGCCCCTCGCGGTGGTGTGGGGTGGTGTGGTGTGGCGTGGTGTGGCGGTGGCTTGCTTCACCCCTCCCTGTGGTGTGGTGTGGTCCGGGGGTGGGTCTGCTTGTTGTGGTTCCCCCTCACGCGATTTTTGTCACAGATGACGGTTTTGGGCCCTCATTCGGCTTGGGGAGTGGGTGGGTGGGTGGGTGGGTGGGGGGATACCATTGGGGGGGGTCGGCGAACCGAGAACCGGGATCATTCATCTCTCTCTCTCTCTCTCTCTCTCTCTCTCTCTCTCTCTCTCTCTCTCTCTCTCTCTCTCTCTCTCTCTCTCTCTCTCTCTCTCTCCACAAAAAATATATGTATGTATGTTTGTTTTGCAAAATGGTGTAATGTAGCATGATCTACTACGACCCCTGGTTTGCTGAGGCCGCAGCGGGCAACCATCGTGAATCGCTACCGAAGGCACCGGGCGGCAGCTGCTTTCGTAGTAGTATAGTACAGTATAGTATAGGATAGTATAGTATGTGCAGAACATTGTCCTCTTTGTCGTATCGTATTGTACAGTATAGGATAATGCAGCATAGTACATTTTGGTATCCTCTCTGCCACCCTGGGCTGTACCAGATCCTGACCCCGCTCCGTACAAACAGTTGCTTCTGACATCACAGCAGTCATCACTGTTACTGCCTGCTGCCGCCTGCCGCCGCCGCTGCTGCTGCCACGGTAATGACGACTACCGCAGGCGCCACGTCAGCTGCTTCAGAGACGATCGACAATATCTCTGTTGCTATGCTGTCCCAGCGAGAGGACGACGAAGATCCCCAGAACAGGACTTGTACTGATGTGTGCTCTCAGAGTCGTAATCATCGCATCATGACTAATCATAAGGACTGCTTTTGCAACTTCACAAACCCCCTACAGCCTTTTTCCAAAGCCGCTAAGCTATCCCACGACGCGACGGTGAGGCCATATCCCTAAGCGCCGAAACCCAGAATTCCTGCAACCACAGGAGGAAGCGCAAAAGAAGCAGGAAGCCAGCAAGTTTGAGAACCCATCTATCACCCTCCTTACTCAGTCCCCAGATCCTTCCCTAAACCCTAAACCCTAAACAACCAGATCCGTAAGTCAGCTGCAGGGACAAGCAACCTGCCGATTCCCAGAAGCAAAGCGAGGCTCTGGGACTGGAACCGTTGAAGTTGTAATATAAGGGCCTAAACACTTACCTTTTTTTGTGGGTTCCTTTAAAGGGTTCCTTAAAGGGGTCCATAAGGGATCTATAATAGGGTTCTGTAATATAGGGGCCTAAATAATTACCAATATGATTGATAACCATAGTATAATGGGCCCCAACAACCTATTCTAATTATTCAAGTCCCTATATCATGCTTTTTCACTCACACTCTCAACTTGCTTTTCAAAATTAAGGGATCTATATGCGGCGTTGAGGGTTTAGTGTTCAGCTTGTTTGGGCGTGTTAAGGGTTTACTTGGAGGTTCATGGGTAATTATGTGAAGGGGTATAAGTAGGACAACATATTAAGGGACTTATCACCCCACTTAGAACTACCCTTGAACCTCCAAGTAGGGCTAGGGTGGTATGTTTTGGTGCTTTGGGCTTCGGGTTTTCGAAGGCGGGCACCTCGTGCTCTTGGGATGTTCCATGTTTCGGGGTGGTTCAAGGTCTAGGGTTAGAAGGGGCCCCCACCCTGTAATAGTGGTATAATAAGAATATACTAGGGCCCTAATATAATCCTTACAGTCACTATCAGGCAGCTTCTAAGTCTGGGGTTTAGGGTGTTCCTGCATGCTCGTTTCTTGAAATTATCAAGTCTTTTGGGTTTAGGGATCCGTGCATCGTCATCCAGCACAAACCCTCAACCCTAAGCCCTAAACTCGCACCCCTAAACCCTAAATCCCCTAAACCTTTCAGCCCCAAACGCTAGCCCTAAACTCGGATCCCTAAACCCTAAAACCCCTAAATCCCCTAAACCCCTAAATCCCCTAAACCCCAAGCCCTAATCTCGGACCCTCGTTTATGCTGCTGCTGCTTCCCAGAAGGGGGAGGGCCAAGGTAGAAGAGGAGAAAGTCGGAGGGGGGGGGGTTGGGGCTAGGGATTGAGGCTTTGGCGGCCAGGGTTTGGATTTTAGGCTTCAGGGTTTAGGGTGTAGGGTTTGAAGATTTAGGTTTTGAGCTTTCTTTCTTCGTACCATAATGAGTTGAACCTTGGGCCCTGCCTGAACCTCGTTTTGGGATCCGTTCTATCGCTTGGCATTTCGACCCTTGGGTTCCTTAATCAGGTTTGTGCCTTGAGCCCTAAACCCTAAATGGGAGTTTCCGAAAATAGGGGACCCTAATATAGTACCCTAAATAGTAGGATCCTTACCCCTATTTTCGGAAACTCCCAAAATCGGTTTAGGGTTTCGGGCTCAGGGCTTATGGGGCTGAGGGTTCAGGGTATCAGAACCCTAAACTCGAAAAGAGGTCACTGGAGCGTCGAGGGTCGGTGGCAATTCTGCAGCCGGAGGCGCGGACCCTAAAACCCTAAACCCTAAACCGCTAAAATCATTCAATTGATCCCTGACCCTAAGCCCTAAATGTTAAGTCAAAACTTTAAACCCTAAGCCCCTAAACCCAATATTTCGAAACCCGAAACCCCAAAGCCCCATGTAAAAGCCTGGATTTCGGAGGAGGTTTGTGGCCCCGGAATTTCTTCGTCGAGTCTTTTGCCATGCCGACCAAATAGGGGCGTTAATGACCAGAGCGGGCTCTGTACAGACTTCTTGAGACGCTTGGTGGGGTCGAAAAGAGGGTGGTCTCTAGGGCCTTACTAGCTAGAACAGCTTTGTGGTACGGCTTAACATCTTGCAAGCTGGCCCTTTACTTACGAAGGGAGTCCTGCCCTAGTTACCCATATTATTGTGGGGGTTCCTTTTAAATGGGTTTTTAGGGATTGCTATAAGGGGTATTTTGCGGGTTTAGCATAGGTAGCAGCCCAGGTAACTCGTTGCGAACCCGAAGCCCAGAACCCGAATGCACTAAACTCTGAACACCTGCGCCCTAAGCCTCTTTGTGGGAACATGATTTCAACAAAGGATCCTAAACCTCTGAACCCGTAAACCCCTGAGCCCTAAACCCTCAACCCAAACCCCTGCACCCCGAGCCTTCAACTCAAACCCTCAAACCCCCAAAGCCTTGAGCCCACAATAAAGCTCCCAAAGCTCTCTGCCCCGTAAAGCCCTTGACGCAAGACACGACAAGCTGAGCCGGGTGCAGTTTGGGGCAAGCATACTTCAAGCGCATCGTTGTTGCTGCTGTTGCCGTTCTAAATACTAAATTACAAACCCCCGCTTAAACCTACAAGCCGTGACTCTGAACGAGAAGCTTGAACCTACTAAACACCCAAGACCCCATAAACGCCATAGCCCCATAAATCCCATAAGCCCACCTTACACCCCCCAAACCCCATAAACCACAAACAAAGCCTAAACCCCATAAGCCCCTAAACCCATAAGCCCCAAAAGTCTACTACACACCCTAAACCCCACAAACCCCGAAGCTAAACCCTAAACCCTAAACCCCAAACCCCATAAACCTTAAACAAAACCTCACAAACCCCCAAACCCCCCTAAACCCCCCTAAACCCCCAAACCCCCTCAACTCCCCTAAACCCCCTAAACTCCCTCAACCCCCCACTTGGAGGGTCGGGGGACTTAGTAAGTAGGTAGGAAGTAGACTTATAAGTGCCCTAAAAGGGACCCTACTTTGGGTTATGGTACTTATAAGTCCTTAAAATAACCAGTTACTAAGTCCCCCGACCCTCCAAGCAACAACTCCCCTTCATCCGAGGCCCGCCGGAGCCCCAAGGCCCCGGCGAGGCGCCGAAAGCCGAGCCCGGGGCGAAGGACCCGGGACTTGGTCCTCTGCGGAGTTTTTTTTTTTTTTTTTTTTTTCTGGATTTTTTGATGTTTTTTTTTGGGGTGGTTTAGGTGGTTTAGGGGAGGGGGTTTTTGTTTCGGGTTAAGGGTTTAGGGTTGATGGGGGTTTAGGGGGTCTTGGGAGCAACCTGCAAACGTAGGGTTTACGGGTTTTGGGGGTCTAGGGGGGTTAGACTGAATCCTTTGCCGGATATGGTGGGGGTGCGGTTCAGGGCTCAGGGTTTGGACAAAATCCTCTGCCGGGTACAGGACGGTTCGGGGTTCAGGGTTTAGGGGTTTATGGTTAGAGTTTGGGGGTTTAGGGTTTTGGGAGTTTTTCAGGGGGGTTTTCGGTGGTAAGGGGGGTTTGGGGCTTTAGTTTGGGGTTAGGGTTCAGGGTTTAGGAGTTAATCCTTTGCCTGCAAACTTGGGGTTTAGGGTTTTGGGGTTCAGGGTTTTGGTTTTGGGGTTCTGGGGTTTAGGGGTTTGGGGTTTAGTGTTTTGCCGGGTTTGGGGGTTTGCGGTTTTTGAGCTTGGGTTTTGGGTTTCAAGTTTACTACAGCTGCTGTTGTTTTATGCCAACTGATGCGAACATTTATATGGTTAATGTGCTTGTACACCCTTACTGTTGTGTTACGTTCAGTTGTTGTGGTTGTTGCAGTGGTGGTATTGGTGGTGGTCGTGCTGGCGCTGGTGGTGGTGATGCTGGCGGTGCTGGTAGTAGTAGTGGTAGTTCTTGCTGTAGTTGCAAATTACGTAGTAGGGTTTGCGGTGTAAGTTTCTAGGGTTCAGGGCGTAGCCATTTGCGTGTAGCTTTGTATTGTTGCTGCTTCTCTGATATCGATTATGCGTACACATGATAGAAGCAACAACAAACAAGAAAAACCCTAATAAGAACACTAGCAACAACAATAACAGTGACAATCACAGTCTCAATCACAATAGCAGCAACAGTAACACTGTCGCTAGTACGAGTATGACTAACAAAAACAGTAGTTTTCGGACTAATATACTAAGACTTCTTTTTCCATCAATGTTATTACTTGTAGCATTGCTGTTATCTCCTAATTACTATCGTCATTATCAGTAACATCTTTAATGCCACTGTTCTGTCTACCACGAGGACTTATAAGTACTACTTTTAGTCTTGTTCCTGCCGATCGTGATAATATGGTTTCCAGGTTTAGGTTTCGAATCCAAAAGCCGAAGAGATTAGGCAAGCCGATGCAGTAGATAGCAGAGAGCCTCTTGCAAGTTTAGGGTATGAGGTTCAGGTTCTGGCAGAAGGCACCTGCCAACAGCCGCCTCCCCACCCGAAGCCGTGAGTCGCTTGCATCATGGCGTCAGCACCGAGGAGGCTACGAAGCCCGGCCCGATGGTTGAGGATGCGAAGGATGCCCCCTTGCATCCCAAACACCCGGTGCCTAGTGCTACCGTGGAGAGGGCTGACTGAACTAAATTAGGGCCCAGCAGGTCGTGCAGCGGCGGCTTGTCCGACCTTGGTGCTAGTGATAAGCCATAACTCATCTGGCAGACCATCTTTTGGGACACATGTTCCTGATCAACAGTATGTTCATTCGGACTCTGCTAATCATATACTATGATCATAATTGGGTGTTCGACTACATTCATAACAAGGAACCCCAGAATAGTAGGGCCTTGGGGATTTCCATTCTTACGACGACGGTGCTGCTCAGCGTGACGATGGTGATGGCGATGACGACGATGCTGCTGCTGCTGCCGCCGCCGCCACCGCTCCTGCTGCTGATGCTAGTGGCGATGAATATTCAGGTAATTTAGGTATATGTGCATGCAAGTGTGTGTGTGTGTGTGTGTGTGTATACATATATATGTATATATACATAGTTTAATTCAAACAATTTCAACAGTTACACACATAGTTAAGCGAATTAGTACATCCGTTAATACGTAGAAGCATACATATACACACGCATATACATAGGTATGTATATATATATATGTATATATATATATACACACATACAAATACATGCACATATACATCTATATGTACATATACATCTAGGCCTGTACATATATAAATGCATGCATGTATGTATGTATGTACGTACGTATGTATGTATATGTATGTATGTATGCATGCATGTATGTAGGAATGCATGTGTGTATGTATGTATGAATGAACGCATGCATGTATGCATTTCGGTATGCACATATGCACACCTTCATGTATGTGTGCATATATGTACGCATGTATGTATGTATCTATGTATGTATGTATGTATGTACGAACGCAAGTCTGCATGCATTCATGTCTGTATGTGCACATGTATGTATGTAGTGTACTGTGGCGTAATGTAATGTAGCGTCATGCCAGTTCATGTCATGTTATGCCATGTCATGTGATGCATGTATGTACGTATGTATGTATGTATGTATATGAATGACTGGCTGGCTGGATGGATGGATGGATGGATGGAAGGATGCATGGATGGATGGTTTGCATGCAAGCTTCCGGCAGGGGCTTGTAGGGTGAAGGCCGCAAAGTTTTCTCGGGTTGAGAGGAGTGGGGCATGTCTGTACAGTGCTATGAATGCTAGCTGCTAGCAGTTAGATAAATCTAACCTCCTTATTGACCTTGCCTAGCACGAACAACGGTGTTGAGGCTGTGGCCAGGCTTTGTAGTAGGCTGTGCCGCAGGTACTTGGAGGTTGATGGGTATAAGCAGGCTTTTAAGTCCTTTCATATGGGTTGTACCTATAGCTGATAACCCTACTTATGACTATCCATGAACCACCCAAGTAGGGGGAATGCCACGGATACTTGAAAGGGAGCCCCCTCTTCGAACAGAGTTTCGGCAAATCATTTGTTAGCCTCTTTCGTGTTTGGGTTTAGGGTTCGGGGTTCTCGTCTAAGTGGCGTGGTTTTTGCTCGTGCATGAGCAATCCGATGACAGATGTGGTCTGAAAAGCATGGCTGCGGCACGCTTGTGCTTTGTGAATACCCGTTTACGAAGGATTGGCAGTTTCTTTGGCCAAAGACCGAGGAAAGACTCATCTCAAGTCGGAAATCTCAGGATGAAACCTGAGTTCCCGGTCCTTGAGAAGCGTAGAAGGCCGTTTCGTGAGGCATGCCGGGTGCTCGCCTGACGTGTGGAAAAAGTCGGAAGCAGAGTTTCTTGAAGCTGGAGCCACATAGGGTCGGGGTATCAGTTTGTGCATGGTTTGTGGACTAGGGCTTAGGGCAAAGGGACTTTGGGTATGGGCTGACATGGAGGTTTTTAGTTGTAGGGTGGCTTACTTCCAGGCTTCTTGTGATTCCATCCCAAAAATCTATGGCGCTTCAATCGATGCCATCAATGCAGACACCTCACGAATACCTCACCCCCGCGTCTCCCCGCCTGCAAGCAGTGTTCGAATCCTAGCATGAACAGCCGGGGGTTCATTAATCAGGGGTCTAGATACAGACTTCAACTCCGGACTCTCAAGACCTGGTCCTAAATCTTCAAGCTGAAACCCTAGACCCCTAAAGCGGACTGTAAGCCTAACATCCTGGGCCCTAAACCCCGAACCTAAACCCCAAGACCCGAACCCTAGATCCGGCCCTAAACCTTCCGAAAATAGGGTACCCTAATATAGTACCCTAAATAGTAGCATCCTTATTATAAGGACTCCAAAATAAGGTACCCCTAATTTTCGGAAACTCCCAAATCGTAAAAGCCCTAAGCCCGTCCAGGACCGCCTTTCGGCCTCGCAATGCTTGTGGCTCCATTCAGGTTTTGTCCATTCGAAGATATCCGTGTCTGACTCAGGGTTTAGGGTTTGGGTTTAGGGGTTAAGATTCTAATCCCTCCAACCCTGCACTCTATGTAAGCCCTATAAGCCTAATCCCCAAAGGTTTTCTCTAAACCCTAGCCCGTGAAGCCCGAACACACAAAACCCCTCCACCCCGAAACTCTCAAGAATTGAATAAGTCCTGAACGCTTAGACCTTGAAATTGTCATGAGATCGCCAAGTTGTGAACTGCAGAAGAAGCTTTTGGTTTTTGGAGTTTGGCCTCAGGTTCTGGTATCCCTTAAAACCCTGGGGGATCAAAATAGCCCAAAAGCCTTATATATTATGGTCTTTGGGCCCAAAAGCCTTAATAATTAATATTTGAGTCCTTAAATCCCTAGGAAAAGTGGAGCCCAAGCCATAAACTTAAAATCTCACAGCTGGAAGCCCGGGAGGACGATGCTAGTGCCAACATCTACAAGCCTCATCTCTCGAACCCTCAACCTGAGTTTCCTAGAAATAGAGTTCATGGTTCATGTTCGTTGTAAAAAAAGTCACAGTGGAATATCTACAGCGTCATTTTCACAAGGAGTCTATGGGGATTCTAGCAGCATATTGCATACTCTCAGAAGTTCTTGCATGATCTTGCTTTGGCCTGGTTTGTCCGATGGGGAGGAAGCCGCGGCTGAGGCCTGTTGAGGGGTTAAACACCGAGTTTTAGGGGTTTCGTTGGGATTTTGGGGTTTCGGGTTTAAGGGTTTAGGGTTTGGGGGTTCAGGGTAGGGGGGGTTTGGGGGTTTATCTCGGGCTCTTTTGGGCTGTTCGCGTTCCCTCCTGAAGCCCTGAAGTCACAGGCCCTCCTGTTTTATGAGACCTCAGACCCGAATCCCTGACGGCTTGAAGACCTAGACAAGGAGGGCCCGGATCTGAAGAGCTGAGACATCAACAAGAAGAACAACCACCTGCCCTAGCCCTGGGCCCCTTTGCGGTTTCGGGTTCAGGGTTGAGGGTTTCCCAAGCGACAAGCAAGCAGCTCAAAGTAGCAAAACGTACGTTACCAACACAAAGAGGTAGAAGCAGTGACAGATGCGCGCACGCAAACGCAGAAAGAGCCCTTAACCTGCAATCCGAGCCCTAAATCTTAAGGTGTAAACAGAGAGAGGCTCCATAGTAGTTCCTTTTTGGGAATTCCCTCATAGGATTCTAAATATGAACCCCTAAAAAGGAACTACTAGATGGAGCCGTAGGGTAGCGCCTAAACCCCTAAAGCCTGAATCCTGAACCCTTGAACCTCTTCTTGAAGTGCATGAGCGGAGCCCGGCACTTCCCTGAGCCCTAGATACGCATAGTATAATTGGCCCCACAACCCTATTCTAATTCATCAAGGCCCATGCATTCCAGAACCCTACTATAGATCCTTTATAAAGACCTCTGTAAAGGAGCCTTATTTTATTTATTAAGTCTGTACCAAAATTTGTCTCAGGAGTTGGATCGGCTGCGGTGCGGCGGCGGCGCTTGCAGCCGTGGCTCGACCGTGGGCGCTTCCTGCCTCGGCAACTTACGTTTGTTTTCGTTGTTTAACTAGTTAAGTGAATATATAAATAAACAGTTAGAGAATGAGTATGCAATCAAATAAACAACTACGTAAAGCAATAAATAGTCAAGTAAACACAAGTCTGTATACATATATGTATACCTATATCTTCTGCACGTAATTAAGGTGGGCCGCTTGCACTCGGACGCAAGCGGAAAGCATTCGTTTGCATCGGTTCGAAGCACGTGCAACTGGATAGAGCGAGACAGTGTCCGATATCAGCACCTAACTACCCTACGGCTCCATAGTAGTTCCTTTTTAGGGGTTCATATTTAAAATCCTATAAGGGAATCCCAAAAAGCAACTACTATGGAGCCTCTGGGTATTTGGACAGCGAGTTGCAGCAGGTTACATGGATCACCAAGCACATCAGCGTCAACAAATCATCGCCCATTTGTTCGGTGCCACAAGCACCCATAAAGATCCGTGAAAGCCCGAAACCCTAAACCCTAAACCCTGAAAGCTATCCAGACTCATGGCGTCTTGGCACTCCCGGTCGACGATTTTTTCACCTTGGCAGATCTGGACCTAGATGTTCTCGACTTTGCTGTTCGTCCTCAAGGTTCAAGAACATGAAACCGTCGTTGTTGAGATTCTTTCTCTTCTCTGGCTGCGGCAAAAACCCTCTTGCCCCCGCGTCGCGTTATTGGCAACGCGAACTCGGCATCTCCTCGCCAGCATCCGTCCGAAAAGCGAGTGAGTTTGACTCTGGGGTTTAGGGTTTTAGGGTTTTAGGGGTTTAGGGTTTTAGGGGTTTAGGGATTCGGAAAACAGTCCCTGGTTTGGGTTTCCTCGTATTAAACGTCATCATGCTCACAAGAGGTAGACAATCTTTCATTGACTTTTCAAGTGCTGTGTACGACTTTCTATGAACTACAAGTTTACACAAACTTCCCTCGCTTATTTCTAGACGCAGGACGTTTTTGAAGACAGCCAGGCCGCAAAGTACCATAACGCTGTGGAGAAAGTGAGCCGCAGTTTGATCACAGGAAAAAGCTATACCCTAAACCCTAAACCCTAAACCGTGCATCGAATTCGGAGAGCGTGCCCGTAGCATGGAAGGAAGTTGAGGCCGACGTAACCTTTGACAAGAAGACATTCAGTACCCTATTTAGGGTTTTAGGGTTTAGGGTTTTGGGATCCTCATAATAAGGAGCCCACTATTTCGGGTGCTGTATTAGGGTCCACCTGAAGAAGACCAGCGTGATGATGGCACGCCTGTCACTTGGGAGCAACGCTATCGCTGCAAGATCATAGGAGGCCAAAAGGGGTTTTCGCCTATGGGGGTTTAGTAGGGATTAGGGTTCCCATAATAGGCTTCATATTGAGGAACCCCTACCCCAAGAATCTTGAACCCCCCCTTTTGGCCTCCCATCAAAAGAGACAGTGCGGAGACTTTGGTCCTCACGAAGCGTAATCCGGCTATACTTGGAGGGTCGGGGGACTTAGACTCAGTAACTGGTTATTCTAAGGACTTATAAGTAGCATGACCCAATTCGGGTCCCTTTTAGGGTACTTATAAGTCTACTTACTACCTACTTACTAAGTCCCCCGATTCTTCAAGTAATCTGTTGCCAATGCACCGCGTCCTGGAGCAATCAGGCCGATTGGCCGCCACTTGCTCGCCGACGCATGAACCGCAATATACAGATATACAGCTTAATTACACGGATCTACCGACACACAGACAGAGATATACAACGAGAGTTTTACAAGCATATTGTATGTATGTATGTATGTATGTATGTATGTATGTATGTATGTATGTATGTATGTATGTATGTATATATATATATATACACACAGACATTTAGATGACTAGGTAGATAGGTTATCTATCTACCTCATGCACATGTATATGTATATATACATATGCAAATGTTTACCTCTCTTCTTTCCTGCACTTTGTGTTTCGTGTTTGCTAGACAACGAATTTCACATCCAGCTGTTTTGGCTCGTTGAGAAGAGTTGCATTTGTTCAGTGCCTAGGGGCTTGGGGGTTTCAGGAGCTGATCGAGCAGCCTAAACCCTGAACCCTCAACCCTGAACCCTGAACCCTAAACCCTGAACCATGAACCCTAAACCCCAAATCCTAAACCCTAAACCCTGAACTCTCAACCCTAAACCCTGAACCCCAAACCCCGAACCCTAAACCCCAAATCCTAAACCCTAAACCCTGAACTCTCAACCTTAAACCCTGAACCCCAAACGGTGTTCACGGCGTTGAGGCCTTTGGGTTTAGGATCAGCTTTGGGGGCTCCGGGTTCATGGTGACTTAAGGCTTAAATCAGGGTCTTTCGTCATTTTCGATCTTCAAAGCTTAGGGTGCAGGTTTCGAGGTTCAGGGTGAGATCGGGGGGGAGGGCCGGGGTGGGGCTTTCTTGAAAAATGACCAACATCATGCCTTAGGGCTCCTTGTCATAGTTATAGCATGACGCTGAACCCGAAACCCTTAGCCTTAATCCCTAGTCCTTCGCAGCATGAGGATGAAACTCCAGACCCGTAGCCCGAAACAGGCAGCGGAGTAAGAGAATTCCCCCAAAGTCCTTGCATGATCATACTGTCATATGTCCGCAACACTCGTCCCATAATGCCCGTATATGACCAAGGTTGGCGGTGCGCACCATGGGTGGACGCTTGTATCACAAGTCGTTGTTGTTGGGTCCTTTTCGGGCGGGGACCAGCAGCCTCCGCCACTCAAAGTCGTAGAATCTGAGATGCACCACATTGCATCACCCTAAATCCCAAACCTTAAACTTAACATCCTAAGCCCGGCAGCCGGGGACACAGTGGGATGTGTAAGGATGGGCGGCTTTGGCATGTACACGCTTCTCTGGTTCCCCACTTTACGGCATTCGTGTGCGTGATCACAGCAGCAGCGGTCGTTCGTTGTCGGCGTCCTCGTCATCCTCCCTGGAACCTGAAGATTGTACGTCGTTAAGGAGAATCAAGGCTAGGCTTCTTGGGGTAATATAGGGGCCTAAATAATTACCTATAATATTGTGGGGGTTCCTTAATATGATTATAGTATAATAGGCCCAAAACCCCTATTCTAATTATTAAGGCCCCTATATTACGGTACACAGGTACCCTGTAAAGAACCTTCAATCTTACTCATGCTCGTCCTGGCTCTGTGCAGCAGTTCCCGGACCTGTGCAGCTTTTGCGTCGTCCTGCCTACTGAGACTTTTGACAACCGGATCCTTGTTCTTGTCACCTGCGGCATCCTGCAGCATCCTACCCCGAATGTCGCATCCCAATCTCCTTGTGGGTAGTTGTCAAAATTCGGGTAAGTTTTGGCTACCATTAATATTATGTGCCGTATTAAAACAAGGACCCCAAAAGGGACCCTATTTTTGACAACCACCCTCGTGAGCCTAAACTTCAGGTCCGATCATGGGCCAGTTTAAGTACCTTGGAGGGGCACGAGCAGGCCCGACTGTAGGCGTGTGCGCAGCAGTGTCGGCAGAGCCATGTCAGTGGCTGCATGTGGAGGCTCCTGGAAACCCCGAAACAGACAGAGGAAGTGATACATAGCTCCTACAGAAGCAATGCTGCGAGCAGCTATGTTCGATTCACATCAGTGTTTGTCTGTGCTACGGTCGTACTATGCTGAGTTGGGGGGCTTTAGGCCAAGCTCGGTGTATGCACAAAGGCCATCGAAGATAGTGTCTCTAGACCCATCCCAAAATACTATGAACCCGACTCCTTAAGCCTAAGCCTTACTCCCTCAACCTGTTAATGCTGCACCAAAAGCACACTGAACCCCGAAACCGAAACTCGCAGAGTGCGAACCGATCGGTTTTAGGAGCTCTGCCTGCTGACAGGTGACGGAACCATCTATGGCATTCCGGGCCACGCGAAGCAAGTCTTGCGCAGCTTCGCTTCGTTCGGTTTCCGTAAGTCCTCGACCGGCCATTCCTACATGGGGGTTTCCGAAAATAGGGGACCCTAATATAGTACCCTAAATAGTAATAGTAGAATCCTTATTATAAAGACCCCAGAATGGGACACCCCTAATTTTCGGAAACTCCCACATGAGCCCCAACATCGTGCAGGGAACACCGGGGCCGCCAAAGCGTCGGTGAAGCGCAGGCCTCATATGCCAAACCAAACATCCGAACCACTTCCTCAATGCCCAAGCTTGCATGAAAACATCAAGGGTTTAGGGTTTAGGATTTAGGGTGATTTGTCGTCCTAACCCTCGGCCCTAAGATATGTCCCTCCTCTTAAGCTCTGCACCACGAGGCTTTAATTCTCACGATCCATTCGCCCGCTTGAGATCTTTTAACGCCTGCCGAAGCTCCAATTCCATTTACCCTGAAACAGAAAGGCTGTCACAGGACCTCACTGTCGTGTATGTAATTTCTACGATACTTATCATAGGAACCCCCTCAGCCAACCATTCGAAGCCCTCGTAACGATTCCGGTAAGTCCTTGGAAACCCTTTTAAGAAATCCCCTATCTGGGTCCTGGAGGGCCATTCTTGAATACACTGTTCTGACCTGTTCCTTGTATGAAACACCAGTCTATTCCATTTTCTTCCTGGTTATTTCAAAGTCCAGCTACAGCCTACACCCTCTCAGCTGTGTGCACACCCTCGGCCCGTCCACCATCCTTGTAAGCCGTTTAGAAACCCTTTTAGCAACCCTATGCGCACCCTAGATAGGCCTGTATAAGACACGGAACCCACAAAGATCAACCAAGACCCCATGAAGTCGTCGAAACCCTACAAGAAGCAACCGGGTAAGTACGTAGCCCTAGAAACTGCCTTCAACATCCTAAACCCTAAACCCTAAACCCGAAACCCTAAATCCCAAACCCTAAACCCTAAACCCTAAATCTAAAACCCTATAAACCCTAAACCCGAAACCAAGAACCCAAGCCCAGGCATAACGCCCTCGACTGGAGAGATCCGGCATATCGGACCCAGGCACTGGCCGGCAAGCCAAGGGTTTAGGGTTTAGGGTTTAGGGTTCAGGGTTTAGGGTTTAGGGTTTAGGGTTCAGGGTTTAGGGTTTAGGGCACCGGCAGACGACAGGAGTCGTGATCTACCGGTTTCAGCCCAGACCAGTCTGTTGTTGAAGATGTTCCCTCGCCACTCGCCCTTGCTTAACCACCTCGATGTGTTCAAAACCTAGGCCTTAGGCCGCAGCACAGACTGTTTTTTTTGTGTTTCCGGCTTGTAAACCTACTCAACAACCCAAAGCTCTGCATCCTGAAAGTGCTGCACCTGCCATGAAATCCTAAGAGGCCTCTCGCCACATAGGGCGCGCGTGAACATCCCGTTGCTGCGTTGTTTGTTTGTATGGGGTTTCTGAGAAATTGGGGTCCTTCTGTGGGGGAAGCTCTAGCTTGACCCGCTTATGGTAGCCTTGAGGCTTAGGTTTTGTGTTTGCGTGCTGCTCTCTTCTTCTCAAGTTGTCCTTTTTGCAGTACCTCGGAGAGGAGGGGAGTTTGAGGATGCGGGGATTTCGGATCTTTGCAGAGGTTGGTCGATGCCTTTTAAAAGCCTGAAGTCCCAATTTCAAGTCTCAAACGCTGAAGCCAATCCCCGTGAAGTCCTAAATCTTCAAGTCCAACATGAAGTCCTCAAGAACCAATATGTCCTAGCCCCTATACCCTGAACCCGAACCGCCAGCAGCAGGATGGACGGCAAATTCAAGTGGCTTAGGGGCGTCCTTGCTGGAGACGGCTGCGACTTGGACACTTCCATCCGGGGCTTCGGGGGACATCAATCCAAGGACAAAGGTTATCATGATTCCAGCGCAGTTCATAGTTGTAGATAGAAAAAGATTAGCACCGTGACTTTCTCAAGCCTATTTCGAAGACACTCCACAGCTAAGAGAAAGCATCTCGGGCACACCCGCACACACACACACACGCACGTTGGACGGCCCGAATTTCGGGAAACGCGTTCCGTGAAGCCTGAACTCCACACCCACAAGTGTTGGAAGTCTGAATCCCTGAAGCCCCAAAGTCCTTGCTTTGTTTGAACGCTTTTGTGTAACAGTATATTCGGAAATCTAAGGAATAATATCGGTTTGCGGTTCCTTGACTTCAGGCATCTATGGCATCCCTTCCCATGCCGACACTGTGCTGAAGATCGTTCCCAGCACAGGACACAAGCAGTCTTAGCCACAGGTTACATTGGATGCTGCTACAAGCAAAATCAAATACTACTTGCGCTAAGAAGTCTCATAACAAGAATTCGAATAGCACTATGGATAGTATGAGCAGTAGTAACGAGAACAATAACTGTAGCAATGGCCATGATCATGATTTAAATGTTCGTGCTACTACCATCATTTGTTCATGTTGTTCATGCTTTAGTACGAGCTGTTCGTCCTCCTGTGGCTAGAAGAAAAACTGCAGATCACGGCTCCAGCTGGTCTGAATCCAGACTTCCAGTTTGCCTTGGTTAGATTTGGGAGTTTCCGAATCTTAGGGGTACCTTATTTTGGGGGTCCTTATGATATGATGAGGATCCCACTATTTAGGGTACTATACTAGGGTCTCCGTTTTGCGGAAACTCCTATTCAGGGGTTGGGGTTTAAGACATGTGCAGTAGCAGGTGCAGTACAATACACGCATGCAGCAGAGTGGTACAAAGCGCTCGTCTTGGCTTCAACGGCAACACTTTGCGAGCCCGAGGGGGCTTGGTAAGTGGGGCTCTGATTTGGGTGGCTACACTCATAGCTCGTTATAAGCCTATGCTCGTAAAGTCTTTGCTTGCTTCAAGTAGCCCTGCCCCATGAGCCTCAAGCCCTCAAACGGCGCGTGCTCAAACTCCAAGTGCCAAGTGCCAAATCCAACGCCCTAAACGCCCGAAGCCGGAAATCCAACCCCCAAACCCCAAAGCCCCAAAGCCCCAAAACCCTGAAGCCTGAAACCTCGAGCACTGAACCCAAACCCTGCAACCCCCAAACCCTGAAACCTAAAGCCAAGACCGCGGGGCAGGAGAGGTACTTCAGCTTGGGCACGTGCCTAGCGGCCGATGGAAGCCGCTTGGCTGCTGTAGGAGCCGAAAGGGGCTTGGGCTCCTTTAAGAGATCCATAAGGTTTGGGGTTTAGGGATTCCTTTAAGGGATCTACAGGGTTTAGGGTTTCGGGATTATGCCCGGAGACTCCTTTATCACTTAATTAGGGATTTAAAGTTTATGGTTCTGGGGTAGTTTTCTATCGGGGTATGGGTATGAGAAGGGAGGGTTCTCTGAGGCATCTAGCAAATCGTCGAAGTGACGAAGTTTTTGTAGGGCATGTTATGATCGTGACCGGTCGTAACAGCGCATGTTGCAGTTCTGCGAGCACCAGCACGATACTGAAGCCGACTGCGGAGGTGGCACGGCGGTGTGCTGGGCACGGATGGTGCGATCTACGGCATCCCTTGCAATGCCAGGGCCACGGCATGATCGCAGCGAGTGATTTTGGTCGGAAGTCACAGGTTTGGGGCACATACAGCCGAAGCCCGACCCACCCCAAACTTAATGTAAGGGCCTCAATAAGTCGACTAGGGTTTCGGGCTCCTTCGAGTAAAACTGCACTCAGGAACCGTGAGGAGTCATATGGGTGGTTGTCGAAATTAAGGTCCCTTTTTGGGTCCTTCCTCGAATACGGCACTAGGGTGCCCAAGAAAAGGGGCCATAATTTCGACAACTACCCATATTGGTAATTAACCCTGAATCGCAAGAAGCCTTCGTCCTTCCACGAGGCTCGAGGGGTGCTCAAGATCGTGCCGGAGACTGGTGAGGTCCGGTCTTGCGGCGTTTAGGACCGAAGCTTAGGGTTCAGGGTTTATAGGGTTTAGGGGCCTAGGATTCAGGGCTTATAGGGGTTTAAGGTTTAGGGTTCGGATCGAAAGGCCACTCAGGAATTGTGGGCTTAGCAGTGGGGGCTTAGGCCATTTCGGTTTAGGTTTTAGGGCTTTCGAGGCGGCGCGGGTCCAGGGCTTTGGGTTCCGGTGGCCTGATCAGTCATAGGGACTCTTCGCGGGGTAGGGGGAGAGGTAGGTGACTATACTGTATACATGAAGGCCCCCTGCCCCCGCTAGCATCCCTATGAATCAGGTGAGCATTCTTGGAGACCTTCCCGAGGGCCCCAACAAGTGGTACGGCACCTCGGCGAGCGATATGGGAATGATGACGCTACGGATGGGGGGGATAGCAGTCTTGCAATGGTCATAAGTGTAGCAAGACGGTTCGGTACACGCAATGATCTCACCATGGCGCAAGAGCAGGCGTGTCATCACTAGCAAAGCGAAAGTAAGACGGAAAGGAGCAGCGGCAATAGAAACTGTTGTAACCCTGTTTTAGTCATAGCAGCAACAAAACCCCAAGCCATTGCCCTACGCCGTGCGCAGAATGCCAAAAAGAGTACGGGAGATCTTGGTCGTCGCCGCTGCCTCTACGTCTACATCTACCTCTAAGAATAATAGCAAGAATAAGAAGAGTAATAACAAGAAGAATTATAAAAGGCACTTCCACTACCGCCCCACAACAACTACCATTTCCACTGCCAGTACTAATGAAGCCCTCTCGAGCCTTCTACAAAATCTGACGTTTCACCTAGGGCTTGTTTACACAGGGATGTTGGGGTCGTCAGGCTGTGAGGTTTGAGGAATGGCTGCTTTGAGGTGGGCTGCCGGGCGACGACGGCGCCATCTATGGCATCCCTTACAATGCTCGGCAGGTGTTGAAGACTCTTGGTGCTCACTACATGCATGCATGCATGACTGCATCGGCATGCCCAATGTGCGTGAACATCCGTGGGCTGATTGTTAGGTAATCTTCACATAGAGCAGAAATTGAGAACTGACACAAGGTTTTAAAGTTCCGCCTAAACCCTACACCCCAAAATCATTCGACGAAGAGAGAAGGAGCAGAGATCAGGCTTGTGTCTCGGGAGTTTCAGGGAATAGGGGACCTTTATGTAGCCTACAGTATAGGATCCTGATTACAAGGGCCCCTGAATAAGAGACGCAGACTTTCCCAAAATTGTGTAACATGCCCAAAAGCTTTAAACCGCACCCTTAGCACTGAACCCCTGAACCCCTAAACCCCTGAACCCCTAAACCTCTAAACCCCTGGAGCCCCAACAACCCTAAGCCCCAGAACCCCGGAGCCCCACTTCGAGGATCGTGCCGGAGACCGGCGAGGTCTCGACCATGGGCTCCTTGCCCGAGGGCAAATGGAAGTGGCATGGTGGCCCGGTGCTGATGAGAGGTCTTAACATGGGGGCCTACTATAGGGGCCCAAAGTATTACCAATACTGTTTTGGGGGTTTCTTAGAGGGTCCCAAAACCCTATTCGAATCATTTAGGCCCCTATATTAGCGACATGATTGTTTTGGGCTCCTTCTTATACTTACATCATACTATACAGCTACCAACATCCTCGTTGCTTCAGTTGCTCTTACTGCAAGAATGGTGGACGTGGCTTTTGGCATTGAAGGGCCGTTTGCACCGAACCCTAGACGCAGATAAGACTGAAAGCCACCACAACGGACACAGGAGCTGCGGGTACTACAGGGGCACATGAAACTAAACCCTAAACTTTATGTACCCTAAGTCCTCAATCCTATGCACTCGATCCAGGTGGCGTAGTCGGCCCGGACGGTGCAGTATATGGGATCCCCTCTCATGCGCGCAGCGAACCTCGACAGCAACAGTTCAGCCACGCTGCAGGTTCATGTCTCGTCCCTTTTTGGGCCTGGGAACTACTATAGGGGCCTCAGTAGTTACCTGTACTATTTTGGGGGTTCCTTTTTATAAGTATAGTATAATGGGGCCCGAAACCTTATTCTAAGTATTAAGGCCCCTACATTATAGGCCCGTCGCAGGAAACCAGTGGCACATAACCCTTATGGAGGAAGCTGATCCCTGACCGTCGTACCTACTCCCAAAGAGCTACTTGGAGTTTCATGGTTAGTTATGAGTAGGGTTATAAGTAGGATGACTATAGTTATAACCCATATGCAGGGACTTATAACCCCACTTCTAACTAGCATGAACCCTAAACCCTAGACCCTTACAGAATCCCTATAGATCCCTTTAAAGGACCCCTAATAAACCACACTTCCAACCAGCCATGAATCTCCAAGTAGTTGGGCTTCGGGATGGGCAGCGGGAAGCGGCCTTGCAGAGCCAAATCTACCTACAGTCTCCGTTGTAGTTCCTTTTTGGGGTTACCTTTTAGGATCCTATCAACCTGGTTAAACCAAAAAAAGGAACTACAATGGAGACTATAGGTAGGACCCAAAGTAGGCCCTGATTCCCTCTTTTTTTAGGCTTCAGGTTCCCTTATAACTCCCTTGAAGCCAAAAAGGGCACCCGTTGTAGTCCTAGGTTACTCTTCGGTCTAGAAAAAATGTGGCAGCCGGTGTGCGATCGTCAGCCTTTCTTGCGTTCCGGGGCTGCAGGTCCTTTTGGGGTTTGCGGCCGGCAGGTTCACTCCGTCTAGGGTCCTGAGATGTCCAAGGTCTCATTTCCTTGGGAGGGTTTCGTTTAGGGACTAGGGTCGAGGGTATAGGGATGAAGGTTTAGGGTTTGGGATTGAGGGCAGTTTGGGGATCTTCTGGCATCTCATCGCCATTGCGGCAAGGGTAGTTGTGGTCACAGCACTGAAGCCTCGGAACCCTGGATCTATACACCTTAAACCTTTAACCGGAAGCTTCTTTTGGAGCCCTTGCTCTTCATGTGAACTGCAGAGAAGCGCTCTGAGGTGCTGAAGATCGTCCCAAAGACAGGCAGTGCCGGGAAGCTCGTGCATCATCTAAGCTCTGGGCTCGAGACGCTTAGCGGAAAGCTCCAACCCTCCGCCCAGAACCCGAAACCCCCACAGTGGTGTCCAGCGAAACGGGGCACATCAATCTAGATCAGCTCCCCCTCCAAATTCGAGACCCGGGATCCTACACCGATGTGTGTCCGCCGTGCAGCATTCACTTGGGGGCTTGATACATCGTCCACTGACTTCAAGACGTGTTCCTTAGCAGCTGTAGCAAAGCGTTCCCGCTTCATTTCTACGAAAGCTGAGCCCCAACTAGGCCTTTTGGGTCCACCCCGGACAGCGCCACCACGCGTGAAGGCGAAGTGTCGCTACTCGGGGATTTTACCTCGATGCCCTACAAGTCCCCTGGCTATCCGAACTTGGGAGGTAATATAGAAGCAAAAAATGGCCAGTAGCAATGTTATTACTTGATGAGCCCTTCTTACAAATACAAGCATAATATCACCCAAAACCACCCTACTCATTACGGCACCTGCGCTGCTGATCCCTGGTTAACGGTGGAGTGACTGTTGTTAAGGGCTCTGGCTCACGGTTTAGGGGTTTGAGGGTTTCACGTTCGGAGTAAACGGGTCTAGAGGTCCGAATCTCTTATAGCTTCCAGCGGCAAGAATTGTAGTTTATCATAGTATACTACAGTCTACTATACAGTACCTTATAGTATACGAAAGTAAGGATCCGTTTATCATAGTATACTACAGTCTACTATACAGTATCGTGTAGTATGCGAAAGCAAGGATCTCCGACGCATGTAGAAGCCTCATGGCTTCCCAACAATACGACAGTGCTGACCATGGTGACATGTAGAAGTGAAAGTAGCGCTGGCAATGGCAGTGATGATGGGAATGGTACCAGTTCTAGCAAAACTGTCATGGAGTAGGATTATTCGCTAGACCCTAAACCCTAAACCCCTAAACCCTAAACCCTAAACCCCTAAACCCTAAACCCCTAAACCCTAAACCCCTAAACCCTAAACCCCCAAACCCCAAACCCCTAAACCCTAAACCCCTAAACCCCTAAACCCCTTAAGCCTAGGATACTGCGCTAAGACTGTGAACTTCCTGGCAAAGACTTCAGTGAAGAGGGGTTTCAGGGGCGGGAGCTTTCATGAAGGTTCTGAAGGCGCCCATTTGGGAGTTTCCGAAAACAGGGGGACCCTAATATAGTAGCCTAAGCAGTAGGATCCGTATTATAAGGGCCCCATAAGGTACCCAGAGTTTCGGAAACTCCCATTTTAAGCATGGCATAGCCGGAGTCTCAACTGCTAGGCAAGATGCCTAAGCAACTCAAAGACTCCTAAGGTTGTAATATAGTGTCTGAATATTTGCCTATACTATTTTTGGGGTTCCGTATTGTACTTAGAGTAATATTATGGCCCTTTCCAGTTGATCTAGTGGGTCTAACGGCCTAACAGGTACCTTCAGTGAGAAGTGTCTTCTGGAAATGCACAACTTAGCCAGATGAGTCGTTCTTGATCACACCCCTCAAGGGGTCCTGACATGCCCGGCGAAATGAGTTTCTGATATCGCTAGTAATTGCAATAAGAACAATTTTCGGCAGCATCTATTCGCGCAATAAAACCAACACTAGCGAGAATGCCATTGTCATATGTTTATCGTTTGTTTTCAGGAATCTCACCTTACTACTGATATGATTACAAGAAGTCTTATGAATAACGCTACGACAGAGATGACTCAGGATTCCGAACGGTTGCAGGCAGCTGCAGAGAGGGAAGCCAAGAAGACCACAAAAGCAAACGGAAGTGCAAGGTGATGCCGAGGGCAGTGTAGCAAAGTAGTATGGTATTGTATAGTCTATCATAGTATGTTATAGTATGATATTATACTAATTATCCCATAGTTTACTCTAGTATCGTATGTAGCCACATACAGGCAGCTCGAGCATATACGTGCATAAAAGTATCACCTACGATGCTCACTTGCGGTGGAAACAAGAGCAAATTACATCCAGGTGGGGCGGCGGCGCTGCGTCGGACGGCGCTGTGTGTCCTGACAGCGCTGGTGAAGTAGCCATGAGGAGCTCAGGTAATGGAGCGGCCTTAATGATTACTGTAACGTTCCTTCAAAGACTGTAAGGGCTCTTAGTTATAAGGATTTAAGTATAGGGCCGTCATTAACTTCCTATACTATCTTGAGGGCCCCCTATTATAGTTATAGTATAATGGGCCCCAAAACCATTTTCTAATTATTAAGGCCCCTTTTTCTTATCGTGCGAATACCAGGTCTGCCGGTCAGCTCAGTATAGTACCAGGACTCAGCATGAGGACTGTCGTCGTCAGTGTTACCATCATCATCACCAACGTTCTCATTATCATCAGTATCATCAGCATCATCATCAGGAGGGCCATTGTCATCATCATCATCGTCGTCGTTGCCAACACCTGGATCGGGCATCACCATCGTGAAAGAGGCAGCTGGAGGAGGAGCAGGAGGAGTAGGAGTAGGAGTAGGGGGTGGCAGTGCGAGTCGGAGTAGGCTTTGCGTAGGAGTAGGACTAGTGGTAGCGGTAGCAGCAGTGGTATACAGTGCTGGTGGCGGTGGCGGCAGTGGTCGAATTAGTCGTCGTCATTGTCGTAGTGGTAACTGCCGTGGCAGCAAGCAGCAGTTGTCGTGGTGGCCGTGGTACTTGTAGTTGTGGTGGTAATTATTGTGTTGTGAAAGAGGTAGTGACATAGTGATAGCGTCATCGTGCCAGCAACGTTGGTACTGCAGTGCTTCTAGTATAAATTCTACCAGTAATATGTAATAGCCAGAAGCTGTTGTTGTCATTATAGTATTGGCCCCGATCTTCCTACAAACCTCTGTGGAAAGACTGGCGCTGTCTATCGTGGGTACTGTCCCTTCTCTGTAGCAGCTGTATGATATGTCTAGTATAATTATGCATAGCCCTTCTTTTTTACGACCCTAATTGAGACTGTGGAAGGGTGGGGGCAGTACCCAATGTCTATCTGTGAACTGCAATTCAGTATGGTATATCCTGGCACATTATAGTACATCGTAGTCTATGATAGTATGCTATACTATGCTACAGTATGTCGTAGTATGTTATAGTATGTATTCTAGTACATTATCGCATATCACAGCACAGTCTATTGTATCATAGCATGTTGTACTATATTATCGCAGCTTATAGTACATTTTTGTATGTTTGAGATCTGCTAACGTTCCGTGCCCCGGTATAAAGGACGCAATGTACATTTTGATGATGCAGTAGTAAGACTCAATAAGAGGAGTTACAGTGTGCTTTTGCTCTTAGCCAAGAACTCGCTACGATTAGAAGCGCAAATCTGTGCTGAATTATTATTCGCGAGGTTTACCAGCAACCCAGCCCTACCCCCAGATGCCAGATGTGCTGCATCCAACAAAGGTATGGTTTTCCTAGCAACCATGTCTCCTGGCTGCAGACATGGGTACTTACGGGTTTAGGGTTTAGAGTTACTTCATCATGGGTCCTTCCTGGCAAACTGGCGATGGTGGTAGAAGTTCCATCTGGAACAACCCTAAACCCTAAAACGTCTAGGGCCTTCAATGTTGAGAGCAGACCGACAGACCCAAAACCGCCAGGAGCTAAACATCCAGGGGGACGCGGAGCTTGCTAGGATGTCGGACTTCGACGCAGTTGGGCTATACAGTACTTGGAGGTTCATTGATTCATGGGTAGTTATAAGTAGGGTTATAAGTACGCAGGATAACTCTAGTTATAACGCGTATTGAGAACCCATATCTCCACGTAGAACTACCCATGAACCTCCAAGTACGGGTCCAGAACATCTGAGTTTGTTTCGTACGGGACCAGGCTTCAGATTTCTGCGTTTAGGTTTCGGGAAGAGTGCGGCGTTCGGCATGCCGGGTCGAATTCAGCGTTGTCATCGTCATCATCATCCCGCTTCTCATCATCATCATCATCATCAGTCCCATCGAAGTCAACCTTAGCATCATCATTGGTATCATGTCCAGCAACATCCATGTATTCTGCAGCCTATTCTCTACCAGCCATCATCGTAACCATCACCGTAGTGATCATCTGACCCACCTAGCTGAAAGAAAATCCGCTCCTAAACCCTACAGTAAAAGCCAGAAAGTTGGAATACGATTATCCTAAACCCTTTATGGTAAATTATAGGGTATCCTACCCTGGAACCATATTCCAACTTTCTGGAGTTCCTTTTAAGCCCGTACACTCGTAACGCTCTTCAGGCCTCGAGCCAGGCCTTGACTGGGGAAGCCTAAGAGGGGGCTTACAGTAGGGTTTAGGGTTTTTGGGTTAGGGTTGGTTTAGGACCCGTTTTAAAGCCAGCATCTCCAATAAGATTAATCAAAGGTCTATTGCTTTGCGGATCACCTGAATCCTAAACTCCTGAAGGTTCAGGACACGACCATCACTTCCAAGAGAGTCCCTAAACCCTAAACCCTAAACCCTAAGCCCTAAACCCTAAACCCTAAACCCTAAGCCCTAAACCCTAAACCCTAAGCCCTAAGTCCTAAACCCTAAACCCTAAACCGTGGAGGGGTGCTGGTCCGTTCATCTTTCGTCCCTGCACCCTCACCCTAGGCCCGGATTTCTGAACCCTAGGCCCGGATCTTGGAACCCTAAACCCGAAACCGTCGCTTGGCGGAGTGGAGAAAGGTCAGTGCACTTTAAAAAAACCCGAAACCCGAAACCCCTGAACCTTGAGCTTTAAGCCCGAAACTCTCCCGAAACTCTCCAAAACGGACCGAGGATGCCGTGTTGAAGATCAACACTACTACCGAGGAGGTCTCGCTGCTGGACCTTTGGGGTGCCAACATGCCGGGCTCTAGGGTTTAGGGGTTCAGGGTTAGGGGTTCAGGGTTTGGGGTTTACAGTTCAGGGATTTAGGGTTTGAGGTTTAGGGTTTGAGGGTTCGGGGTTTAGAGTTTAAGGATTTAGAGTTTAGGGCTTTAGGGTTTGGAGTTTAGAGTTTAAGGTTTTAGAGTTTAGGGCCTTAGGGTTTGGAGTTTAGAGTTTAAGGTTTTAGAGTTTGGGGCTTTAGGGTTTGGAGTTCAGTTTTTTTTTTAGGTTTTTGGGGATTGGGTTTTTTTCTGTCTGAGCGTAGGAGGGTTCGGGTCAGGGGCCTCCGGGGTTCACGGGGAGCAGAGACTCCAACATCCCAAAATAGATGATTTAAGGAATATTCCCTAGTTGCGGAATATTCCTTAAATTAGAGTAGGATCCCTAACATGATTTAAGGAACATTCCCTAGTTACGGAATACTTCCTTAAATTAGAGTAGGATCCCTAACATGATTTGAGGACTATTCCCTAGTTACGGAATACTTCCTTAAATTAGAGTAGGATCCCTAACATGATTTGAGGAATATTCCCTAGTTGCGGAATACTCCTTAAATTAGAGTAGGATCCCTAACATGATTTAAGGAATATTCCCTAGCTACGGAATACTTCCTTAAATTAGAGTAGGATCCCTAACATGATTTGAGGAATATTCCCTAGTTACGGAATACTCCTTAAATTAGAGTAGGATCCCTAACATGATTTAAGGAATATTCCCTAGTTACGGAATACTCCTTAAATTAGAGTAGGATCCCTAACATGATTTAAGGAATATTCCCTAGTTACGGAATACTTCCTTAAATTAGAGTAGGATCCCTAACATGATTTAAGGAATATTCCCTAGTTACGGAATACTTCCTTAAATTAGAGTAGGATCCCCCATATGATTTAAGGAATATTCCCTTGTTACGGAATATTCCTTAAATTAGAGTAGGATCCCTAACATGATTTAAGGAATATTCCCTAGTTACGGAATACTTCCTTAAATTAGAGTAGGATCCCCCATATGATTTAAGGAATATTCCCTAGTTACGGAATATTCCTTAAATTAGAGTAGGATCCCTAACATGATTTAAGGAATATTCCCTAGTTACGGAATATTCCTTAAAATAAGAGTAGGATCCCTAACATGATTTAAGGAATATTCCTTAAATTGGGGTAGGATCCCTAACATGATTTAAGGAATATTCCTTCATTTCAAGGATATTGGAGTCTCTGGGCCGGGAGCACCGAAAAGAAGTTGGAAAGCTGGCAACAGGATGTTTAGTGCTAGCCTTCCCTCGAGTAGGGCAAGAGGGCAGCAAGTTCACCACCATAGGTTAGAAGGGGCCCCCACCCTGTAATAGTGGTATAATAGGTATATAATAGGGCCCAAATATAATCCTTATAGTCACTATTACAGGGTGGGGGCAGCTTCTAAACCATAGGGTTTGGGGTTTAGAGTTTCCAGGTTTCCGGGTTTCTGGGTTTGGGGTTTCCGGGTTTCGGGGGTCTGGGCCGAGTTCACATTGAAGGTTCTTTACGGTACATGCATGCATACATATGTACTTGCATGCATATATATATATATATACATATACATATGCGTACACATACACACAGAGGTCTCTCTCTCTCCCTCTCTCTGCCTTCTCCCGAAGTTTGTACGTTCGAATGCATCCCCCAATTGGCACTCCTGAGATAAGTTTTTTGTGTAGGGCTGTTGACTCTTCGGGGGTTAGAGTCTAAGACCTTACGATTGAGCTCAAGAGTTTCGAGCATCGTATCCTTGAAGCTCAAAGCATCGTTCAACGAAGTTTCGCCATTTCACTGGTGCAGCGCTAAATATCCCGAACCCCAAATGCCAAACCCTGGACTTTTTGGTCTGGAGGAGGCCTTAAAGCCCTAAACCCTATACCGTCGTAAAGCCCGAACCCATCTAAACCCCCTATGCCGAAAGTCTTACTTGTGATCACTCTTCAAAGTTTCGGCTTTGACCGAAATCTCGCCATCCTATTGTTGGCCCTATATGATGTTTTTTCTACTTAGCTTCATATGGTGTGTTAAGTGGGTTTCAAACTTGTTTAACACTAAAAAACGTCTAGAGAATTAGTAACTAAGGCCTGGCCCATGTATTGGCTGCTTTTGGTACGCTTCAATGGGCGATCGATAGTCCGGGAACAACAATATTGACATGGGGTCAAAGCATTGCAAAAATGCTTACCCAGCAAATCCTAAAAGAACCCGAAACCCTAAAAATCCGAAGCCCCAACCCTAAACCCTAAACCCTATGAGGACGAAAAAGATCCCCTGCCACATGCCCCCCCAAATCATTCCGCCCCCGCAGGACGGGTTCCGCCAACCTGGCAACTCGAAATGGCAAGGAGGACTCATCCGGACATGTGGGTTGAGGGCTTAGAGTTTAGCGGTTTAGGGCTTCAGGATTTCGGGTTTGGGGGTTTTCGGGCTCTGGGTTTCCAACCCCTGTACGAATCGCCATCTGTTGCGATGTTGCAATGTAGTATTCCCAGGATATGCTTTTGTCCATGTTACCGAAGTCCTACACCACAAACCCTAAATCCCAAACCCTTCGACCATCGTTGTATTACCGGTGTGCTCGATGACTCCATGATAGGAATCGAAGGGGTTGAGGGGTTTCGGGGGTTTAGGCTTGCGGCTTTGTGGGCTTGCGGCCTTCGGTATTTAGGCTTGATGTGCAGGATCTTGTCTTGCAGAGGTTCAAACAGGGGTGAGTAGTTTTATCCTCTTCTTCTTCATCATCTACCTTCATCGCAGCATACCCGATATCTACACACTCCGTTGCAGTTGGAGCACTAAATCTGCCAAAACAAGAGCGAGGGGTATGGGGCATGGTAAATCTTTCGGAGCCTTGATAGCATCTCCTTGCTGTCTCATGTCCCCAACGAGATAGCAAGTCTTTAGCATTGACAAAGCATGGCGGTTTCCATGGTCTTGCTGCTGTGCGCTACTTTCGTTGTTTCTTTCTACTTCTCTTGTTGTTCTAACTGCTATTCTTATACCCACGGTTGCTTCGGACAGCGCCATTATGTGCAAAGGTTAGACAGCTGGTAATCAGCATGACGCAGGCTGCATGCTCTAGCGCTTGGTGCCGTGTAGTTCTGCGCTTTCCGTAGGCACGCAAGAGGTCGCTTTCTAAGTTGTAGGTTCCGCAGGTCCAAAAGTAAACGTGTTTCGAGGTCTCGCAGCCAAGAGCCGTCGAGCCTTTCGTGCAGACAATCCTGTGGAGCTTGTGGACGTTTAGGGCTTAGGGTTAGGCTGAGCAGTTTGCATATTAGCATCGTCGCCCTACATGGCAGGAATGCGGGCCAAAGACGGTGCGATATATGTGGCATGGCAGCACAGTCCCTAGCCAAATTGCCCCTATCAGCCCCAATTATCACCGAAACTGGGTCATAGCAGCCCTACACAAACCGTACAGCAAACCTCTGTAGTGGCCTTCTTCTTGCCGTTGGTTAGTAGGGCATGGAGGAATGGGGTACGGTTATAACTACTATTACTACCATTCTTCCATTCCCTCCTAACCAAAGGTAAGTCTTGTCATCATCATTACTGTATCCTTGTGACACTCTGTCCTGGGCATGACTGGGTAGCAGCCAGAAGGTTTCTGCGAGAATTTCGGTGAGGTGCCTCTCAGAGAAGCCGTGAGGACAAGGAAGTCCCGTGAGGTTGTTAGTTTAAGGTTTTGGGTTTAAGGTTTAGGGTTTCGTCGGATTCAAGGTTCAAGGTTGTAATTTGTGCACGTGTGAAGTATCACGTTGTGTGTATGGCATTGTGGCACAAGTGCTCTAGCAGGAAAAAGGTGTAGCTACCTAATGGTATCGTGCGCTACTTGCTAACACTTGGACGGGTTATTATCAGTGCGTGTGTGCAGTGGTTTACAACAACTATAGGTTATCAGCCGTATAGCCTACGGCCTGGTCACAACTGGTTGGTTACAATACAATCAATCAGCGCATGAGCGAACCGGAACTTATTCCTGCAAGTATGGATACAGTTACAAGCACCGTGAACCCTTTTCAGCCCCCGGTCACGGGTGGCCATACAGGGAGCGGCGCCCCCGGCTTAGTTTTCCCGGCACCAGCCTCAGTCCAACAATTCAACGTCTTCGCACCACAGTATAGTGTCGAAGTACACGTTAACCAGATCAGACTGGAAGTCGGAGAACTAGAGGCTCAGGCAGAAGCTAGACACAGGCAACACATGCTGACCTATCAAGAAGCATCCGCAATTCACACAGCTGACTTGGAGCACAGAGCAGAACGAAACCACCTTGAAGTGGTGGCAGAATTGCAAGCAGCCTTGGCACAAAGCGAGTTCAAGGCGGCAAATCGCGAAAGGCTCCTGTTGTCGGAAATGACTTTAAGTCAGGCGCATTCCTATGACGAAGATCAAAGGTTGCGTCAAGAGCTAGCGGAACTTCAACAAAGCCGAATCACAGACGCATTGGATCAACATCTGGCGGAATCACGCTTTGCACAGAACCTCGAAGAACAGGCGAGACGGCACGTCGAGAATTCCCAGGAAGTCATGGTTGAACAGTTCCAAGCACACTTTGAGTTGTTTAGGAACAGGCAGAAAGAAGAGTATGAGGCGTCCCTTGCTGTATGTAGGGAACAGAACGAAGAGCTTCAGGACAGGTTGGATTCTGCGGAAACTGCACTAGAGAAGGTCTTGGATCAGTACAACCCAGCTACTCCAAAGAGTCAGCCAATGCCTGCTCCAAGCACCCCTGCTGGTCCCTCTGTTGTCCCCAAAGCTCCTCAAGCGCCCATGTTCTCAATGCCGAACGTAATCCCCCAGGGTGCCAGATGTCTGTTCGAGTCAATGAATCCAGGAGGTTTGAATGCTCAGTCCATTCCGTCTGCAACAGCATCTTCAATCCCCAAGGCAGGACCTTCCCAGGCAGCGCCAGGAACAGCGGCCCCTCCAGCGGCCGATTCCGGCACGCCAGGGACGGAGGCTTTCAACACAGGTCTCCTAGAGACCCAAATGGCAATTCTTCAAAGCCTAAGAACCTTAAGGGGTGAGAGCAAAGTCGATGCTGACAAACCCAAAGTGAAAGAAGCAGAGTCCATCAACCTTCCGGATTTCCAAAGTCCAGAGTCGTATCGTTCATGGAAAACGGCAGCTAGGGAAGCGGTCAGGGCAGCATCAGATTCTCCTGATGAGGCGTTTAAATGGGTGATGAAGGCCTACGACAAAGACGCATCGCAGGAATCCCTTCGAGACCCTGAGAAATTCCTCACCCTTGACACGAAACTTCTTGCTGCACTCACCAAAGTCGCTAGGGGAGAACTCTCCCGAGAAATCCTCATTTTTAAGGAGACAGAAGCGGCGAAATTCAGGGCGGTACGAGGACGACAGGTGCTCTACCTCTTTGATCAGTACTTCAAGACGAACGAGGAGGTTGGCTCACTGTACTCCGTGGAGGACCTGCTGAAAGTAAGGTTAATCAACGACGACCTTTCAGTGTTCATTAGCAACTGGGAATCTGTCATGTCTGGACTTAGCCACACACCGGACGAAACGACCCTAAGAGACATTTTCCTTCGTGAACTCAGGGCAGTCCAAGAGGCTAAAGTACGATCTTGAGATTTACGACAGGGCATCAGAGGGCACGGATCAGCACACGTACAGGTTTCTTGTGAAGTCACTTAAGGATCTTTTGACCCGAGAGCGCAAACGCAAGAACCGTGACCGCATCGCAAGATCTCACGGAGATAAGTACGGTGCCCCTGCATCAAAGTCTCCTGGCCGAACTTCCAGCCCCTCTTCAAGAGGAGGCCGTGGCAGATCGCAGAGCCCAAGGCCAAGATCACCCAGCAAAGGTAGATCCCAGTCTCCCAGCAAACCTAGGACACCTAGCCCAAAGGGAGTATGCTACGATTTCCTCAAAGGAACTTGCAAGCGAGGCAATAACTGCCCTTTCCTTCACAAGAAGAGATCATTGTCCCCCAAAGGCGACAAACAAAAGAAGAAAATCAACGTGACATGCAAGTTCTGGAAAGAAGGCAACTGCAACAAGGGTGACAAATGTCGGTTCCAGCATAAGGATGTAGAGAAGCCGTCAGCTCCCGCACCCAAGTCCGAAGCAGCCCCGGCAGCTCCAAAGCCAGGGTCACCCAGGGCCAACTCCCCTGCTCCGCGCAGAGGGAGAAGTCCCAGGGCTAAGTCAAGTGACAAGGCTCCAAAGACGGCCGCATGCGCCATCGCGTTCGAGAATACAGCGGATCTTGAGATCTCGCCAAAGCTCGCTATGGCAGCGTCACATGACGAGGACTACTGGGAGGTAGACTTCACCGGCAACAAAATCATCCGCCATCACAAGAAGTACCGAACAGATTGGTATGTTCCTGACAATTCATGTCCTGTGAACCCCAAGAAGCTTAGGAGCCAAGCTAAGCTCGAGCAGGTTTTGCCGGTCTCCCCTTTTGTTGGAAACAAGATCTACAACTGGAGGAAGACCCCAACCAAAGGACCCGGCAGCACATGGGTAGGAAAGACGATCTTCTACATGCAAGAACTCCCTAAGGTGAGTTTCGACAGCACAGTAGAAATGATTGCCATCGAACCGGAAGGAAAGCAGAGAAAGCATGCCTACCTTCCCAGGGTTTATGATGAAGTCTATCCCACTGTCGAGAGATGTCCACGCTCGAATCCTAAGGATCTGAAGAGGGCTCTTGTATGGGCAAAGCAGTTTGCCACCATGATCGAATGCATGGTTCACGACACGCCTGCGGGATGCGGGTATGAATGCATGGAGGAAGGCTTCCTCTGCGAGGAGTGCGAGCGACTTGCACGTCCGTCATGTGCAGGTCTGGTCCCCGGCTTAGAATTCCTAGCGGATACCGGAAGTGAAGAGGACCTCATCAGCAAGTCGGACTGCAGAACTCACTTCCCCGACGTACCCATAGAACCCGCCTCACGTCCTGTCTCTCTGATCACCGCCAATGGGCCGGTAAAAGGTAATGAAGCCGTTAAGCTTGAGGTCCCTGAAATCAACAAAATCCTCGAATGCTACGTGCTAGATTCAACGCCGCCGGTATGCTCTGTTGGTAGGAGATGTATGGACGAGGGTTTTGATTTCCACTGGTACGCCGGGAAGACGCCTTACTTCGTGACACCCGAAGGCCGGAAACTTTACTGCAAGCTGCGCGGGCGAGTCCCGGTAATTGGGGATGGTACAATCGCTGTTCCCGCCAAGGATGAGAAGGCGGCTCATTCGCCAGTCATCCAGGCAACCTCGGGTTTTCCCCGTTCAGCGGCCTACTAAGGCATGCCAATGCAGCAGAATCCGAGCCGGAAGGTGAATCCTCGGGCAATGGCCTCGACCCCAGGATCGAAAAAGCACTGAAAGAGGCTGCTCCGTTAGGCATAAAGGCGGAGTACTTGAACAAACCAGGTTGGGTTTCGCATCCTTCCTTTCCACAGATGATCGTGGGGCACTTTCCCAAAACCTTTAGAACGCCTGCTACAAGGTTTCCAAAGCACGTCATCCGGAGTACTTGGACTTATGTCAAGAAATGGCAGGAGATCGAAAAGGACGTGGATGTAAGGACGTTGGACAATCGGGTAGCCAAGCTCCCTTCTGATGCCTGCATTCTCAGTGTAACGATCTTTAAAAGACCTGTTGATGACCCCGAGCCGGAGCCTGACAGCGAAAGAGAAGCTGAAGCTGACCCAAAGGACGAAAAACGTTCAGCCCAGCTCAAGCTGCAGGCCAATAGCCCGGAGCACAAATTCACCCACCGTCCTAAGAACCCTTTCTGCAAGGTATGCCAAAAGGCCAAAATGCTAGCGCCGCATGCCAGAAAGCGAGGGGGGAGCTCCACTATCTTTTCGAAGAAGTTCGGAGACCACGTGACAATTGATCACATTGTGACCAAGGACTTGCGTGATTTTGGGATCGAAGGTGAGAAAGTTGCTCTTGTGGTTAAGGACGTGTTCACTAACTTTCGTTATGTGTACCCTGCAGGTACGAAGGAGTCGGAAGAGGTTTATGATTGCCTGTTGCACTACTTCACCGTAGATGATGAACCAGGTATCATTTACTCCGACAACGCCCCCGAACTCAAGAATGCTACTGGAAAATACAAAGTTCGTCACAACACCTCACGACCTTACGTCGATGAGAGCAAGTCTGTTGTTGAGAGAGAGATCCGAACTGTGCTCGAGGGCACACGGGCGAACTTGCTGCAGGCAGGACTCCCAACGAAGCTCTGGCCCTTAGCTGCTCAACATCACACTATGGCTCTAAACTTGTCCAAAAGGATGGACACCGCGAAGATCCCATGGGACGAAAGGTTCGGTGAAGGGTTTAGCGGT